AATACCCATGAATATTTGATGTGGAGTGGGAAAATATAAGCATATAATACCAAGCTTCCAGTCAATGAAGTCAATATTTTTGTTGACTTTGTCTGGTATTTTGTATAGAGACCATTAATTTGTCAATTAGTCAGTGTACTAAACTTATACAGATAAACAAACCAACAAAGACTTCCCGAGCTGTAGATTCACTGATGTTTGTTTCAAATACCCCTATAGTGAAACCAATATCAGTGGCGCCATAGTTCAACAAAGATTTAAATGGGTTATTAAAGGCACTTGTTAATTTAATAAGCAAACAGTATAAAGTGGCTGCACCCTTCTGATAATTTCTAAAATCAATCTGGAAAGAGTTATCTCTCTTTAAGTATTTTTACATATTTTTCTCCCTCCTTTTAGCTCAAACTGAAATTGACAAATGTGAGTAAGGCTGACAGAACTAACAAATTTTCTTGTTTTTATCACAAATTTTTGCTTTCTTATTGTAGAATTTTTCTGCAACTACATGTTTAGTGAATCACCATTTTTTTTTTTCACTCATTCACTCTTAGAGATGAGCATGCACCTTTACATAATGAATTGTTTTATTCTGATTCCTCTTATTATCAGCATGTACTTGAAAAAACTACTAAATAATTTCCAGGAACTGGTTGCTTTGATGATATTTCATAATTAGAAAAATATCTCTTATGCATGTCTTTACTTCATACATTTCAGGAGGGGGTGTAATATATTACAATTGTAGACCCTCCAACATTCCTGGTAATTTTTTTCATAATTGTATACTTTTGCTAAATAATTATATTCCTATGCAATGCCCATGGAGTAGCATGTGTCAGTAAATGCACATTTATGAAATGTAAAAATTGTATATGCATTCAACATGAATATGTAAACTACATCAGTACATGTTTATATATGTATACAACATGTCTCATATAAAATTCATTCTGAGGATCAGCTATGCAATGCTCTTCATGAATTTTTTTACTCTTAATGCAGTCAAAACTTGTTATCTTGAACTCGATGGGGCAAGGAAAAACTTTGAGATATCAGAGGATTCAAGATATCCAGTTCAACTGTGTATGAATATTTGTTTATATATCATGTATATTGAAAAAAAATTGTTGAAATCAAAATATTTAATTCCTCATTTAAAAGGAGATTCAGAGAATAAATATACCATATTATGACTGCAATTGACTACTGTACAATATGCGAATGAGGATAGACTTTTATTTTTGTATACTGTCAGCACAGTACACTAGACATGCTGGAGAAGCTTAAATTTTGGATTGAATGCCATAGTCATAAGGTGTATTATATCTCTGTCAAGTTTCATTTCTTTAACATTGTATAATTATCTATTACACCAATGATTTTTGAAGTTTTCAGAACGTGTTCAGGATGGGAGGGGGAGACTCAATTTGGGGGGGGGGGGGGTCAATTTCCACAACATTGTTTGGATTGTAATTAGTACTAAGTACATGAATCTGCTTCTAGTGTACTCTTTCTTTCATGTCCTTTTTATGCCTCTGTATATTGGAGATTAAAGGAAGAAAATTAAGATTTTGGTCTGTCCATCTTTCTGTGTGTCTGCAAAACTTTGACCTTGCTTATAACTTTTGAATGGTTAATGCTAGGACTTTCATATTTCACATGTGTATATTCCTTGTTACAAGACATTTCTTTGGGTACTAACATTTTGGACCTTATGAACTTGGAGTTTGACCTGTTTTTTTTTTTGTAAAACTTTAATTAACATTAACCTTGGCCATATCTTCTCAACGGTTGATGGTAGGGCTTTCATATTTCACATGTCTATTCCTTGGGAAAAGACCTTTCTTTGGGTACCGTTATTTTTGACTGCATGACCTTGACCTTGGAGTTTGACCTACTTTGAAAAACTTTTACCTTGCTTATAACTTCTCCATGGTTTGGTGCTAGGGCTTTCATGTTTCACATGTGTATTTCATTTGACAAGACCTTTCTTTGAATACTATTATTTTTGACCTCATAACCTTGACATACTTTTGAAAAACTTAACCTTGGCAATAACTTTGCAGGGTTAGTGCTAAGGCTTTCATATTTCACATGTGTATTTATTGTGACAGGACATTTCTTTGAGTAAAGACATTATTTTTGACCTCATGACCCTGACTTAAAAGTTTGACCTGCTTTTGAAAAACTTTCCCCATGGCCTTGAGCTGCTGTATTGGGGGATCAGTGTATTTCAAACACATCTTGCTTGAATGGGGCAAATATTTTAATTACAAAATGAATTATCTCTGTTAAATTGGTATTCACATGGTATTTACATGTGTAAGTGCAATTGAAGTTTGCAACCGAACCCCCCCCCCCCCCCCCCCATCTATTTGTTTGAAAATTTACAGTTTTTTTTAATTTTTATTAATACAGGCTAACCTGTAATAAAAATCTTTTATGTGGTTATGTAGAACACCTTTCTTGATTTTAAATGAATTAGTATTGGAGAGATTTATTCATGTATTTATACAGTCATGTTATATGTGTTAAGCGTAGCCAGTGGGTACTTTGTATGTATATATTTAGCTGTTGTGAATAAAAGTTGTTTCAGTGCAATAGGATTTTTTGATTTTGGCTTAGACTCAGACTTAAATTGTTACATAATTTTATATCATGCATTTGACTAATTTTTTTGGTTTGCCTGCTTGCCAAAATGTCTTACATTTCAACAGGTTTTATACAGATATCTCAAGTTTGGTCTACAAACTATTTTATCAGGAGCTATCATTTAAAAATTTCATATACACTGAATTTCAAGTGAAGTGATACTTACTAACTAGGTTTTCTGAGCCATTTTTTATTATCTGTATATAAGTAAAAATCTTTGATATTATTTCAAAATGTCCTTGGAAGCACTTGTTATGTGAAGTTTCTAACATATATACACTCATCATCTCAAGCCATGGTCCACATATAGCTCTCTCCAGAATGGGAGAGCTGGATCATACATTTTGGCCATGGTTTGTGATAATTACATACACATATACCTGGCCCCCTTCAATATATATCTAATGAATAATCCAATGGCTCCCTGATCTGGATGGGGCACCTATAATGTTAACATCCAGATGAATCCAGGGGCCATCCATGACTAAGATAGATTGGTTAACATTAAAAAATGGAAATAAAATAATAAATCTATGTTTTGATAAAGGACATATTACTAGTGAATGTGCTCAGAGAAGGATTCTAGTCTTTGCTAACTAGCTAAACGTGTACTTTATTAGCAAATCTGTGTGAAATTATTTTGATAAGAAATTGCTTTAGTGATCAATTTGTTCTTTAAATATATATTTGTGTAATCAATAAAAGCCCATGGAAGGTCCCTCATTCATTGAATTCAGTTGGTCCCTATCAGAAAAATTTCAAAAAGTATTTACATAGAATATATAGGATTGCTCTTCTTGAATTTGGTGGATGTTTGTTTAATTTGGAGTGTTTATAAAGTTTCTTCTTGTTCCAAGATCTACAAAGTATTCCCCCCATATCTACTCGTATCAACTGAAGAATTTCAAACAAACTGGACTATTGTGATGTTTTAAGGATTACATGCTCCGCAGTGGCTAAGTCCAGCCTAAAGAAGATATGCAGTTTATCATTATGAATTCAACTTCTTAGACCATTTTGCTTACAATGAGATGTGACAATGCTGTATTCAATTTTTTTTATTTTGAACTGTAATAGTTGATGGTGTCAGCTGTTTTAAAAAAGTTCCGTTGTCCCCAGTTTTACTTGCATGTAGCTATATTTGTACCATTTTTCTATGATGCATGAACATTCAATTTTGATTTTATGCAATGAGCAGACTTTAATTGCAGGTCTTTTTGAATATGAAGGATGCTTATCATTCTAATTAAGCACAGGTCTTTTTGAACACATACAGCAATTATATTTTAAATGGTTACGCAGTTTAACTCTCGTTGAGACTTAAATACATTTACTCATCAAATTCTTAATGGTTACATGTTCTACTCAAGAAAATGGATGATAATTTAAAAATTTTTTATTGCCATTTTGGTGGGCAGTATAATATAGTTTAACTTTTGCACAGAATACCTGTAATCAACTTATTAATAATATCACTTTGTAAAAAAAAAAAGTATTTTTAATACGGAACATAACCTTACATAAATGATTAATAAACGTACAGTTATAGTGATGGAAAACTGTAACTTCAGATCATCACAGAGAAAAATGATTTTGTGTATAAAAAGTTATAATCTATTTAATTTTTCATATGAGAAAAATCAAAGCTGTATGGATGTAGGTGCCACATTAGATTGTTTAATGTTATGGTATACTATCATACGATTCAACAGCTGCCAGATTGAGGTAGTAGATATAGTATTCCATTCATCTTGCAAGACTGTAATCTCAAAATTTCTTGCTATAGTCCAAGTGATCTTGGTTTTAGCATTAAAGAAAGTGAAGAAAAATGGCCTGTATAATTCCAATTTAATCTTGACTGTACTTCAGAATTGGAATTTGGACCAGTTAAAAGAGAAGATCGTCACAAGAGTTCTAGACCTGCTTGGGTTTAAACTAATAATTCCTTAACTCAATACCTATTTATGTTTGGCACAATACTAAAACCAGTATTTTTGATATGGTCCAGATATGCTCTTTTATTAATCAGGATCGCAACAATACAGAATTTTAAATGGTGCGCATGGCATAAAGAATATAGTCCTATTGTTCAGCAGGAACCTGTTGAGTAGCCCTTTAATTAATAAAGAAAGGCTTACAAAAATACTATGTGATAGATTATACAATTGTGAGCAGTCCTTCCAAGCAACGGTGCCGAGTAAGAGGGGGCATCAATCTATCTTGTCAACCACTCTGAGTAATAGACTAACGTGGCAGGGCTAGGGCAGACAACCATTAGCAAAACGGGTGAGAGATTGAAAAGTGTTTAAGTCTCGGTGAACCTGATTGGATAGAATTTTCAAATTTTTTCACCTGCAAGGATCTGTGGTACAGACATATAAAGATAAGGACTAGTGCATAATCAGTTACCTTATAAGCAGTTTTTAAGATTGAGGAGTGCTCATAATAAGTATGCAGGATTGGATATTTAAGTGCATTGTTAGGACGTAAAATGGGCAATAAAACATGTATCCAATCTAGAGGAACTAAGGAGTAGCCCAATTGATTTATATGAACTTGTGTATGGATTTTAAAATTTGCTCTTAAACCATCGTAAAATGGCATTATTGATGAAGTTTATATTGGTTGTCAGGTCTGTTGATTTGTATTCATTGAAAGTCGCCCTTCACGAGATGTGAACAAACTGAATGTAGCAGAGGAATTATAAGCACCAAATAGGAAAAATCGTTTGTCGGCAGTGCATTACTTATTCATCACAATTAGAAATCACTTGATCTTGAGATTATGTTTCATTTTTGTCGATGGTTTTGCTTCCTAACGGATTTTAATACAGGATTTAGCTACATAGAGTGGGATTTGATGTAATTCAATGAAGTTGGACTCAGAGAAAATGATATCTCGGCCGAGAACGTCTCAGTCTGCGAGATCCAGGATTAAAGGACCTATTTATCAAGAGGAGGATCCCAGTAATTTCTGGGAGGTGGACTTATCTTTTCGGCCCATAGATGTATCTATATTTGGTATGTAGAGAATGTGTAGAATTATGTACTACATGTATGTAGTTAATTAGATTGAAGTGCTGTGATCTGACCAATTAACTGTTTGTATGTTTAATTATTCAATACATAAATACATTTATCTGCTTTCTCCCGAAGTCAATAAATTGGCATATATATGTAGCTTTCATCAAGACAATAGGTATGGGTTTTCACAAAGGCTGATTTATCAACTTTTCAAAAGAGAATGTGTATGTTGGAATCTCTTAATTTGTACAGGAGATGATAGATATAACAACAATATTAATACAACTTGATAAAAAAAACTTCACTGAAAACTAAAATGATGAAATTCCAATGATGATGTCATGTGTATGTAGATGGATGTAAAATAATGAATTTACTACATGTGTGTGTTTCAAGACTGTGTTTAGTCAGTTTACACTGTGTCGGTGCTCTTATGCTCAGTGGAGGTGATGGCGCAGTGGTTCGGCCGCTGCTCTGCATTATCATTATTAACTTGGGCAAGTTACTTTACTCTCTACTGGTGCAGCCTCTAAACCCAGGGGTTAAAATGAGTTCTGCTTTTATGCCCCCCTCCCAAGGGGGAGGAAGGGTGAGAATGCTTTTGATGGTGCAGGTTCTTTCAGGGGTTAAATTGTAGAAGTCATGCAGTGCAATTTACTTTCAAATTGTAAGCAAGCTAGACTATAAACCCTACCTTTACCTCATATAAATATGTTTTGTTTAGAAGTGTCCTAGGTAATGGGTAATTGGCTCTTTTATGTTAACTACATGTATATAAATTTTTTTTTCAACTTTTACGTAAGAGTCATTTGTTATTGTACAGTTTTTCTACAAATGGAATTTTTAAATTTCTTGATGTCATGCAGATATGTTTAAATAAAAACAACAAAGACCTGAAATTATGCTCTCCTCTGCGCCGCTTTAAATATTGAAAAATATGCAAGTCTGTTGGTAATTTGGCATTGATTAATGGAAATTCAGGGCTTTCAACAACAGTTTGTATCAATATTGGATTTAAGAATGGAAAAATGCTGTTTATTGTTTAAGTACATGTATCAACACTATGAAAACACTTTTAGTTGTATTAACAGTGCAAACCTGCATGCATGTGAGTGAAAGACTATTTGTTAAAATAGATTTTAATGCAAATGTTTACAGCCCGAAATCGTCAGCTTTTTCCAATAACCGAATCTTCCCGTCCCTCAAAGTCAGCTGATTCAGACAAGAGCAAAGATGACCAAGATGAGGGTCAAGAGGGGTCATTTGAAAGCGAGGAATATGAGGAGGATTTCAGTCTCCTCACAGGTCTCTTGTCTGAGTAGTCGTGTATGTCTAATGTTGTCTATTCATAGTCAGCTCTGTATGCTAGACCAGACTAAGGGTTTGAATTCAGCTGAGATTTACCCCAAACTGCTAGAGATGCTGCCTAGTTTTTGATCTACTTGTAAATCACATTAGATTTAATACATTATTTGGATGAAGAAGCACAATTGTAATGTTGTTGTATATAAGTGATATTGACTTCAAACTTTATGATGAGTGGCATTTTTTTTTATATACATTTCTTACATACTATAAAAGTGGTCACAATCATTTAAGTTTCTGAATTGGTTTTATTTGTATATTGGGTTATGGGCCAGAAAAGATCTGAAGTCATGCATCTAGTAGTAGCAGTTACATACATAGCTATAGCTCTTATTAGACTTCAAGATAAGTTGAAAGTAGTGCAAATGTCCAAAATTATCTATCCTATCCATTCATTTACCAAACATTTATTTTTGGTCAAAGATTTAGAAAATTATATAGTTAATTTTCAGGAAATTACATTTTGTTTATGTGTATATACTACATGTAGTTATATTTGTGTGCAAGTACAAACATCATAATTATAGAGTGTTTGAATTAGAAGTACTAATATAAGTGTTTTTTGTTCTTGTATACATTGTAATCACCTGTCTGGTAAGTCATAATCTTGCAGATACATGTATATATTGAGACCTAGTGACATATGCTTTCTAAATATATACTGATACTACATAAATATGTAATGGATCATGCAGATTGTTTAGTCACTGAATGCTCAAGTTAAATTTCAATGGTATGTATATGAAAATGGTTAACAAAATATAATGTTGTTTTGCTATATGTAGAAATATTTAATGAGATATCTCTTCAATGTTATTGAAGATGCCTAGTTTTGTATCATGATAACGTTTTTGTAGAAACATTCCTTAGTAACAAATTTGTACTTGGGTTTCAGGGAGGAATCAGGGCTTCCGACACAATTTTTCTTCCTATGCTGAATGGGAGAAAACGTATGGGTACCAGTTAAGTAGCGGCAGTGGGAGCGAGAGTGACGACTCCGACTCGGACTTTGATGACAAGAAAAATGGTATGTTCTAGATTTATGTAACACTCTTAAAAATAACTACCTCTACATTTTTATCTTTTGCTTGAACTGGCATTCCACCTGAAGGGATGACAGAGACAAATTATATCACTCTCTGTTGGTCATATTTTCTTCCATAATCTTTATATTTTCAGTGTTATCTGCATTGTAAAATACAAATAAAAAGATTGTCCACTGAAGAAAAATAAACATGGATAACTTAATAAGTAGTCCAGTAGCTATCTGTTTTAATGGTGCTCCCATGGGCATCAGTTTTGCTCCTTAGAGCATCTATTCTGCTTGCATGTACAGAATGTTCAGATGGGACATCATTTTTTCATAGACATCAGTACTCATACATTAATAACAACATTAAAATTGTAAAAATAAAAATTAAGTTACCATTCATCCTTAGAGATAATTTTTGGTATAAATATAACCTAAGAATCATAAATTAATGCTACCCATCAATGCATATGGTGCACTTGCAGTGATTAATACTCAAGAACCAATGTCATACTTGCACAGTTGTTCATGAAAATTGTCATTTTCTACATGTTCTATAACTACATTGTATCATCAGAATTAAAAAATACATGCTTTTGTATAATCAGCTATAGTGGTGGATAAAGAGAGATCATATCATATACGTGCAGGTGTTAATTGTGATAGCGGCATTAAGAGTTGTGTAGACGGAAATCTAAGTGGTAAGGTTTCTTTGTTAGAATTCACCTTATTCACCGATGATAAAATGGTTTCATGTTAGTCTGCAGACACCATATCCACCGGGTTTCATGCATGTTTTCACCTGTAATTTCACATGATGGCCATAGTAGTAATTTTGTGTAGGCATTTTATGTAGAATTTTCACTTTTTTTCACTATAAACATTATAGACATTAATTTTTCCAATTTGTTAAGGAATGAATTCATTAAATTTATACTTTTTGTATATGTTTTTTTTTTTTAATTTTTATTTGTATAACAACTCATGATCATTCTACATATAGCTATTCATTTATAATAAGAAAATTCATGTTTTGCGATACTTTTTTGTCTCCTGAATAGCAGAATTTAAGAGACCTACTAGCATCACTTTGTCTGTGTGTTGGTTGGGATTAGCACTTTACATAGATAATATATGTCTTTCATGTTAGACAATAAAAAATGCAGCTGTTTTTGCTATGACACTGTACTCTATGGACAGGATGATTGTATCAATGCTTTATTTGAGAGTGGCTAGTTTGATGTAGCAATTTCCAACTTTGCCATCACAAGTCAATTAAAGAATACTGTAAAACAGCTATTGATTCCAGTATGGTTCTTCATCAGAACAAACAGTATTTCTGGCAATTTTAATGCAATTTCCTCAAACTAACAAAGAATATGGAGTGCATTCATTGAAGTTAGGCCTCACTTTCAGCATCAGACATTTGTGATTTCCCCATTCTAGCAAAACTAGTGGAATTTAGTCAGACCCGAAAGAGAGTTTCAATATAGTGTTGTTGTTTTTTGAAACATGAAAGCATCCTAGACCATTTGTTTAAGTTTTCGGGGGATTAAAACTTGAAATAAAGACTCAGTTTTATACTTATACATGTATTTATGTTCCCTGGAGAGCATGTCACTTTGTCATCTATTTGTCACTCCATCCATCCATCTCTCAGTTGATTTTTCACGGGAAAAAAAAACCTTTGGGGTGACGTGTATTCCTTATCAACCATTGTGATTGTTTTACAATGGACTAGGAAGCATCTCCTAACTGTAACACTGAGCACTGGACAATTAAAGGAGAATAAAGGTCAATTATCCATGGTAGAAACATTTTTTGAGGGGGTCACCTACAAAGCAATAGCAGATGCACTGAGATCCCCTTGTTTGGTGTCTGTCTCTCTGGGAGGAGGCAAACTTATATATATATACTCTTTATAGTTATTTCAATTCATATAGCCTAAATTGTGAAACATCATGATATAAGACATCTCAGTAATCAAGATACAAACATTAACAGGAGTTATAATGGTTAGTTCAAAATCAATGTTTTTTTTTTTAAGGTGGGGGGGGGGGGGGGGGGAGTGATGAGCTCTGATTAATGTGTTTGCAACAATCTGTACAGTTAATACCCATCCCAATGTATACAATATATGCTGTGTACTGGTATATAAATTTCTGATATTTCCATATCACTATGAATTACGACAATCGTTCCTTGAACACTCTAGTTTAGCACGATTTCACCATTTACTAAGCCCAAGATAAATAGTATTGTGTTTTGTCTTTTGTTTGAGATTTACTTTGTTTGCACATTAGTAACACAATTTTCCAGACTTAGTTCATTTTTTTTCTGAAGTCCATGCAGTCATTAAAGATTGATATTAAGTCTTAGGAGCAAATTCTCTGTAACTAATTATCGAATCATCTGAGTCATTACGGAAGTGGGATATTGGGTTAAATTGGATGATTGATTATAAGGGAATTATGAAATACAATGAACATGCAAGGTATAGAGAAAGTTCATTTACCTTAATTTAATTTCCCATAAATGAGCTAGCTAGTTCTTATGTGTTATAACATGTATATGCATGTACATGCAAATTTCTATCAATTATTCTCTTAAGTTGAAATCATGTTAATGTCAGATGTACAGATTTTTTTTTTAGAAAGACTGCTAATATTATGTTGATGACAGTAAAAACTTATTAGAAAGATCACTAATAATGTTGATGACAGTAAAAACTAATTGTAGAAAGACTGCTAATAATGCTTCAGTAATTGATTTAAGAATTAGGTATTTTTCTTTCTGCTTTCTTCAGTGTTGTTATATGTTCTTTTGGATAGAAAAAAAAAAGACAGTTTATATTACCAAATGAATGTACTTTTTCTTGCATTTCTAATGAATAGACGTTATCTGTAGGATCAAGAGTTATCTCTCTTGTTCCATCAAAATCAATTTGTGCAATACAGGAGATTATCTTAATATTAATAATAATGACTAAACCAAGTGCAGTAAATCCCCATCATCCATGCTGCTAATGTATCCACTGAAGTGTTAAATGTGATTTGTCTAACTCTGTTCATCATTTCTTAATCCACTGGACTATGCATGTACATCAAAATCATTTGAGATTTTCATTTTTTTCAACCATGAAACAACTACACAGGTTTTGGACTGGAGATACACTTTCATCAGAAATTTGAAGAATATCGTCTCTTTTACAATCAATAATAGCGAGCGCAGCGAGCGGCGCAAAGCGCCGCTCGTCACTGCGAGCTCTAACGACAACGCCTGGGCGAAGAGAAAATTCGGACTACTGCACATTCATTCAATAGAATTTTTTTCCTCAGTAATTCTGACCCACAATGCATCACTTCTTGTTCTCGCTGCTAACTTCATTCACGCGGTAACAACAACTAAAATTTCACAAAAAATAAAGTCACCTTAATTTAATGGATATTGCATGCAGATAGTAGATTAAACGTTCTTTGTTAAAATATGTGCAGTTTTTAAACTTTGTTTATGGAAATGCAGCTAACATACGTCATGTGACGTCACAGTCTAGACGTTCCAAATGTCTCATGAGGTTTGAAGAGGCGGATCTTAAAATGAAGTGAACAATGCGCTCGCCCCAACGGTCGCACCGTCAACATATTAGGAAAATCCTTTAAAAATTACACAAGAGGTTATTTATGTATCATCGTTGATATATAAAATTCTTCAAAAGAAAATGTCTTTTTTGAGAATTCGTTAAATATATCTCTGATAGCCAGGACCTTGAGATCAAGATGAGGCTATATTTAGGATTCAATTAAAAAAAAAAGAAATGTGCACAAAAGTTATTAATTAAAATTTAATCCTCTTTTTACCATGAAGGCTATAAAAGGAAAGTTAAAGCTGGCTATTAATGTAAAATGCATGTTCTATATATACTATCACTCCCTTGGTTGGCGCCAGTTTACAGTTATAAATGGTCCAAGCAAATGCAGATTAAGTGCTTTCCAATGAAAAAACAGCTAGCACCCATCCAAGGACATGCAACCAGTCTTTCTGCTTTAATGATCAATTAATAATCCTAAAAGGTGCATGGGGACTAAAAAAAAAAAAGAAAAGAAAATGTAGTGGCCAATTATCAAGACTCTTGGATTAACTGAGGTGCCTTTAATAAGGCCAAGCTCATGTAGTTACTAATGTAGCTCTATTGTTTTTTTTGTTTTTGGCTTTTTTTGTGCAATTTATCTTGAAAACAGACACTTTCACATTCATCATTCTTTCTTAATTAATAAACTTTTTTTCTGTAAGTTATATATGTACTGTATGTCTTTATATCAGTTTGGTTATATACACAGCTGCTATGTAAGGTACAGAAATGAAATGTAAAAAATTTACCTGTAAGTTTTCTACTGAGTGTTAGACATACTTGAATGCTTTTGTAGCATTTGTTTGCACCTCCAATGCAGTTTTGATATTCTAAAGCAGAATTCGAAGTAGCTAGACTTATTTCATTTCTGTAAAAATCATTTCATAATTTTATGTATATAGATTCAACTGCATGCAAGTGGAGACCCCACAAATGGTTCCAAAAATAACTTTGAGTTTCTGATTTTTATTTTATTCTATTTTTGTATATGATGAAGTCATGGACTCTGCATTTAAACATACATGTAATTTAATGCATTGATCAAAAAATATTTTTAAAACTTTCAAAACTTTAATGTATGTCTTTCAGATGGCTTTCTTCCAAAAATTAGCTACACATATATGTGTCATTAAGCATTTTATTGTAATGAATCCTTTTTATTTTTGGTTTACAATTATTTTTCTTTAAAAGTTATGACCAAACCACTAAGTGCTTTAAATGGAAGTGCCAATGCTTTCTGATTTTTGTGGTCACACAGTTACTGAACATCATGCTTTAAAGTGTTTACTGGTAAATTCAATCTCTTATGCAGATGAGCAAGGACAACAGCTAAGGCATTTAAGTGCTACTGTATATCAAAATACAGTCAAACCTCATTAGCTCAAGCTTGATGGGTCCAAGAAAACTTTGAGATATTCAAGGATTTGTATATTGATGTTAAAATACATAAAGAAAAAGTAGTTTGTACCACAAACTCATTTGACATGATAAATTTCCATGGTATTTGAGATATCAATGTTCAAGATACTAAGTTCAACTGTATCTCTTCTGTACCATATACCACTGGTAGTCTGGCCTTGCCTGTCTGATATGCACTATATACAGCCTTTATCGTATGATAGAGACAGGCAATACCAGTCTAATACCACTGGCTCAGTATGACATTGATATGGTGAACCCATGCCATTTACATGGTGTACCCATGCAAGTAGATGTTAAAGCAATCCCTATTTTAGCCACTCTTACTAGAAAAACTCGGAGCAGGACATAAATAGAAGTTTGTACTTCATTTCATAACAAGTAATAGACTAGTCTTAAAATTTTCACTGGTTCACTTTAAATTTAAAAAAATATGAAGTTAATAAATGGAATAAAAGTCCTATTATTATTTTTAGCAATTTTTAAAAAGTAACATTCACCAAAGCAGAGTGCTTATAAATTATTAACATCTTATCTTCCCCTGTCCAAAGAGGTTTGTTGCCATGGCATTATAAGGTACATTGTAGCAGGGCAAAGAAGACATTTTAATCAGTGTAGGTTTTTTTTGAGAAGATAATTATCCAAGTATTGACAGATTTCAAATTAAAGTTTATGTATCTATGTTATAAAGTACTGTATACACAGAAAATTGGCAGATTTTGAACATATGGAGAGGTTTAAATTTCTGTTTGGCCGTGCTAAATGGCAGCTTTATGTTCCTAGCATTATCCCCATTACGAGCAAGATAGTGATTATCTAGAGGTATTGAGTGATAAATTCACTTTCTATTGTATGTACCTGTGTATACAAACCAATCTGAATTTGGTAGCTGAACATGATTAAAGAGGTTTTTTTTTAATCTTGAATGCATTCATAGGCGACAAAATTGAGAAAGAGTATATTTGTCATCTTCCGTTGTCAAATATGAGTTTATATATTGACGATTTAAGAGCTTTTAAAAATTGGATTAAGTTTTTTTTTTTTCTATATGGCTGTATGGCTACATGGATGTAAAAAATGTAGTTGCCAACCAGACCAATTGGATCCTTTTTATAAGACCTTGCAATGTTTGCACATGAATCATACATAATGTCTGTTTCCTTGAGATTGTTAATTTGGAATTAAGATTGTGAGAGATTTGCGAATTAAAACCACCGTCATGGATTTAATGCCAAAGCTTGTTTTTGCTCTTTAAGACTTATAATAACAATTAGCGTAATAGTGGTATTTTTTTGTTGTGGTCTCTAAAACTTTTTTTTTCCATCTTCTTAACGAAGGATTTTGTCCCTATTTCCTTTCTGCCATTACAAGGTTTGTAGGAGAAATAATGAGAATTTTTTGGGTGCCTGGCTGTCCCATAAGTGTTATGTTCATTCATGTTTATTAGACTTTAATAAGAAAGTAAATGCTGGAAAGGTATTTATGGAGACTATCTTTGTGGATTTTATTGATTACCCTTTAGTTTGATCCATTATGTGCCATTTTCATATCATTTGTCAGAAGTTGAAAACTTTTCTTCCGGTGTAAATGATTATTTTACATATTGACAAAACAGTTACAGTGTGTTTCTTGGAGGAAAAAAAATTTTAAAGACCACTTTTTCGTCGACTAGGAGTTGATCAACAGGGGTATAAAATTACCTCCTTTCAATTACTGGTGGCCTTGGTGAGGTTTTATTAATTCTTATTTGAAAGTGAAATGAGAAATGAGATAATAGTTTACCATAAAAATGTGATAAGATTGAACAACTCTGGCCATCCCAAAGGAAGATAATTTTCAAATAAAATACGGACAGTTTCCTGTGTTTTTTCAATGCACAATTGAAGAGAATTTCTCTTGCGATGCCAAACATTCTTAGAGAGGAAACACATACAGTAGCAACTGAGTACTGATGGGACTTGTATTACATGACCCCATTGTTTAAACCAATACTTTGCCTGAAAACTACACCCCAGTTCAGTCAAACATGGTTGGGACTGAGTGATATTAGATATGTAATTTATTGACATATCAGATTTTGAAGGAAGATTTATTTCTCTGTGTAGACAACAAATGTGAAATTTAAATATACCGTATGTTTATCTGAATAAGTATTTGAGGAGTGATTTATATACACCATTACCAATGTTAGCATTGAAATAGATCTATAAGTCCAAAGTTACTCAGAGAATCAAAGCTTCTAAATGGATGAGAACTGAGTTTGCAGAAGTGGAAGGAAAACAGTTGAATTTTAGGTGACTCAGAGAAAAATGTACAAAAACGACATATTTTCCATGAAAGAAAAGAAAGAGACTTTGGAAAGTCTACCTGGGTCCAGACCTAGAGGCAAGGAGGAGAATAATATTAATACCAATAGTTCCGAGGATGAGGATAATTATTTCATGTTATGGCAGTTTTTAGATTCCTCGGAAATTCTAGATCATTTTGATTTCTTCAAAAATGCAGGTAAAGTGTCAAGCTTCAATCTTGTTTTTAACTTAAATGTAATGTTGGCATAATATTTTGGAAGATGGGGTCAATAAAAAATTTCATTGACCTTAAGAGAAAACTTGATCATATAATCTTAGTACTGCATGGTCAGTACTACATGAGTTAGTTTTTCAAGGGCTGAAAAGATTAACTTCATTTAATAAAGGTTAGATTTATAAGAACTTTCTTATTTCAGTTGAAATAACATTTGCCTTTGATAATGACCACTGTTAAAATCCTCAGCTTATTGGCAGGGGAGTGGTGTTTGTCCATTGAATGTGCTTATGTTGTTACCCAAGAGTAAGGTGACTTATAATGTGTACATTTGTGTGTATTTTAAATTTCAAGTCAAGTGGACAGTTTGAAATAAGAAGTCATATTGAATCAAACTACAAATAAATATAGTACCAGGGTATTTGTTTTCCTCCTTTTTGTGTAGTAATTGTGGACCTTAGATTAAATGGTTTGGTTTTCAATGTAATTTTGGTTCTTGTACATATATAGTCCTCTTCAGTAACTCTCTAAATCTTGAAATTTTTCTTCAGCCATAGACAGACTTTACTTCGGACCATTTGTGTGTATTATGGAAAAGTTCAATTCATAAACTTCTGCTTCACTATTTCCAAATATAATTTGGAAACCACTGGACAAACAGCTAAACAGATCACTTTTGAAACAAAGTGTCCTCCAACCCCCCCCCCCCCCTTCCCAGAAAAAAGAGCAAGTTTTCAAATGGCTGAAACACCCCCTTCTTTATTGGCCCTTTGCCTTCTATGTGAGGTACTTCGCTTAGTTCCCATCTATGAATAATATATCGTGTTTGTATAATTATAGAATTTCTCCTTCAAATGGAAAAAAGAAATTGATATAGAGTGTCAACAAGCTCACTGGCATTCAGAATTTTAAATAGAGTTTTCCATCAGAATTATTTATCAGTTGGCAGTGTTTGCTTTTCATTTTAAATCAAGAATCGATGGAAAAGTGTAAAATTTGTCTCTTTTTTTTTTATTTGGATAAAGACCAGTGTTTGAGTGAATCACTGAACAGGAAATTTCAACTGATCAGTTATATTTTAAGACTGAAAATTTCAGTAAATTGTTTTTTCATATGAAATGGAAAATTAAATGAAATGGAAAAGTGATAAAATATAAATAAAATTTGAGATATTAATATTTTATTTATTCAAAACACTTGTTTTATTTGGAATTTCTACTTATCAGAAATGATTGCAGTGACAAATTAAGGTCTTAATTCACACCATTTCAATAATTTGCCAGATGAAACTTTGAATCAATTTACCTGAAGACCAACATTCAAGAATTTTTTAGGATTTATTTTATTTTTATAGTCATATATTGGATATCTTCAAATGTTACATGACATACTTTGATCAAAAGTCTAGCTTCTAATTGTTTTGTTTCCAATGGTTGATGCTTCGAGATTGTCAGTTGAATGAAAGGTTTGCGTTTTCGTTAGATCACATTGCAGCCACTACAACAAAAGCATAGAGAGCATGATGTCTAAGACTTGTAGACTGATTAAAGTGATGTGCGTAGAATTTATTGTGTAGATAAGTATTCTTTATTAAGGACTTTAATCAGATTATCTTTTAGAAATTTAATCCCTGTAACGTGTGCATATCTGATATTAGAGGAGCCATGACTGCTTTTATTTGCAGTCATTTGAAGACACGTGAGATTTGGCATCAAGGATTGTTTTAAAAATTTTGAAGTGTCTTGGTTGCAGTAAATAGGATTGTATTGAATTGCATGATTGTCATGTTTGAGTAAATCAGTCAAACATCTCTCATTTGAAGTAACCGAAAAAAAAAATTGTATTAGATCTTTAACAGAAACACAAGTTCTTATCAATTTGAAACTAAATGGAAATTCAGGTTTAAGGAAAAAAGGTTAAAAGTCCTGTGTTTGGCTTTTGGCCAAAAGGGTTGGTTGCATGGTCCCAAAAGTAGAAGAAATCAAAGTAAATCTTTTGTGGCCAAATTTTCAGTGTCAAACCTGATGAATTATTTTTGTGCTAGTCAATTTCATGAGAGTCAATCATCTATAGAAAATTATAATGAATGTTAATAATAAACCTTTCAGAACACAATTCAGACTTTAAAAATCAAGGCCATTAGAGATACAGTGTCCTGATGACCCCCTCCCTTGTCCCCTCATGTATAACACCAGTCGCTATATAATTTTACTATGGACTTTTTTCAGACAATAAACTACAGGAAGACCTTCTACGCACAACTCAGCTTGTCTACAGCTATAAAGATGGAAAAGGAATGGTAAGTTGACCCCAAAAAAACATGGAACTGATTCATTTTAAGAACTTTGAAATTGACAGACATCATTTGTTTGAAATATTTTAAATTTGTTTTAGGTCCCAAAGCTTCGAGAACCTAGAAACTTGTATGCTCTTGCCAAAGAACTTGGGCCCCAGCAGGCAGCTAGATGGTGAGGCTTTGACTTAATGGAAGAACCATGTTCAGTTGATAAACTCAATCTGTCAATCAATAAGTAAAAGTGTCTAAAACAATGCCTTATGATAAAGGCATTAGTACCTGAATATTGACCACCGTTCTACTGGTTCAGCATTTAAATGTTGACTTTGTTAATGTCCAAGACCAAAGGTACACTTGACTGGTTTATGTTGGTGTATTCTTGTTTTATCAGTTCTTGTGAACAATGGATCATTTAAAGGGTGTCTGATAATTAGGTCACCTGAGTCACTCAGGTGACCTATTGCTATCCGTTTTTGTCCGTCGTCGTGCGTCGTGCGATGTGCGTTAACATTTGAACATTTTTAGCTTCTTCTCTGAAACCGCTCAACCAATTTCAACTAAATTTGGCATATAGCATCTATGGGTGAAGGGGAACAAAAATTGTGAATTTCATGGTCCCTGCCCCCCTGGGGCCTGAGGGGTGGGGCTAAAACCACCAAAATTAATGCAATCTTTAAAAATCTTCTTCTTTACTCCTGGACATCAAGCAGTCAAACTGTTGGCATCATTGTGATAAGCATTGAGTCCTCTACCAAAATTGTGAAATTCATGGCCCCAGGGTCAGGGGTTCTGGTGCTAGGGCGGGGCTATATAGATCATATAGTGAAAGTGCATTATTTCTTTGAAAATCTTCTTCTATGCTCCTGGGTATTAAATAAACTAACTAAGTATATAGTTATGATGAGTAAGAGTGACTCTTCCAAAATTGTGAAATTCATGGCCCCAGGGGCAGGGGTTCTGGTGTTAGGGCGGGGCTTTATTGATTATATAGTGAAAATGCATTAGTTCTTTGGAAATCTTCTTCTCTGCTCCTGGGTATTAAATAAACTAACTAAGTATATAGTAATGATGAGTAAGAGTACCTCTACCAAAATTGTGAAATTCATGGCCCCAGGGGCAGGGGTTCTGGTGTTAGGGTGGGGCTCTATTGATTATATAGTGAAAATGCATTAATTCATTTAAAATCTTCTTCTCTGCTCCTGGGTATTAAATAAACTAACTAAGTACGTAGTTAGGATGAGCAAGAGTGCCTCTTCCAAAATTGTGAAATTCATGGCCCCTGGGTCAGGGGTTCTGGTGTTAGGGCGGGGCTCTATTGATTATATAGTGAAAATGCATTAATCCTTTGAAAATCTTTTTCTCTACTCCTGGGTATTAAAATCAGTAACTAAGTACATAGTTATGATGAGCAAGAGTGCCTCTTCCAAAATTGTGAATTTCATGGCCCCTGGGTCAGGGGTTCTGGTGTTAGGGTGGGGCTCTATTGATTATATAGTGAAAATGCATTAATCCTTTGAAAATCTTCTTCTCTACTCCTGGGTATTATTGAAACACATTAAATACATAGTTATGATGAGCAAGAGTGCCTCTTTCAAAATTGTGAAATTCGTGGCCCCTGGATCAGGGGTTCTGGTGTTAGGGCGGGGCTCTATTGATTATAAAGTGAAAATGTTTTAATTCTTTAAAAATCTTTTTCTCTGCACCTGGGTATTATTTAAACAAACTAAGTACATTGTTATGATAATCAAGGATGCCTCTTCCAAAATTGTGAAATTCATGGCCCCGGGGACAGGAGTTCTGGTGCTAGGGCGGGGTTATATAGATCCTATAGTGAAGGTGAATTATTTCTTTGAAAATCTTCTTCTCTGCCCCTGGGTATTGCTTAAACAGGCTTAAGTACATTGTCATGATACACAAGGATGCCTCTTCCAAAATTGTGAATTTTATGACCCCAGGTTTAAGGGTTCTGGTGGGGGGGGGGGGCTTCTATTGATTATAAAGTGAAAAAGCAAAATTTCTTTGAAAATATTCTTTTCTTCTTCTGGTTAAAAAAGCAAAGAAGCTAAGTGTATAGTTATGATGAGCAAGTGTGCTTCTTCCAGAGTAGTGAATTTCATGACCTCTGGGTCAGATGTGCTGGTGTGAGGGTGGGGCTCTTAATAATTTAGAGCAAATGCATTAATTCTATTAAATAATCCTGTTTGCTCCTTAGTGTTAAGCAGATAAACAAAGTGATGATGAGCAAACATATGGTCCCAGGGTCAGAAGCTCTGGTGTTTTGGGGGGGGGGGGGGGGGGGCTCTATTGATAATATAGTGAATCTGTAGTAAAAATGCATTATTTATTTTTAAAATCTTCTCCGCACCTGGGCATATCTGAGGCAAACAGAGTAAAAGTTTTTATAAGGAAGGGAATTTTTACCAGATTTTTGAACATCTGGACCATTTGGTCAAGTGTTCTGGTCCTGGCCAGGGCTCTATTAGTTTGTATTCTACTGAGAGGAGTTATTCCCCTTTGCCATTTACTTTTGATAATTTATCACTGTAAATAATGTACTTGAAAGGTAAATAGAGAATTATGCAAAAACTTTTATTGTATAATACAAAAAGTACTTTCATAGTTTTAATGATCAGATAGATTTGTAAGTAGTAGATAAATAAAAATGAGACAAAAATAACTTGTCTTATTAAATATTCATCAAAGACCAAGAGATGCCAATGTAAGAGATTTCAACAAAGGATTAAAATAGTACAGAAGCATTGATAATTTGTTAATATACTGTATAGTGATAGTGATAAATGGGGAACAGATTAGAACCTAATTTATGAACTGTTAATGAATATTAAGACCAATTATTTTGTTGATCATGATCACCCTATTTTTCTTGCTTTTGGGCAACAAAGCTTCACCTTTTAGTTCATTTTATACTCTATGCGTCCTTGAAATTGTTTTATCATACTCAGGTGACCGTTAAGGCCCTTGGGCCTCTTGTATATATTAAAGTATATATTTTTGAAAAATGCCAAATAGGGAAGCCTGGTGTTTGGAAATACATGTACAACATGCAATAAGGCTAACAATCCATTTCCTTAAATAAATACATGTACATTTATTTGCTCTGGATCTTATCCAAACCTTTTTACTTTTCTCAAGCCTTGAAGTCCAAATTACACTGATAACTTTTTGTTGAATTCTGATAGCAAACTAGCAAAACAAGCTGGGAAATAAATTTAACCCTTAAGCATAGATTTTTCATTTTCTGCAATTTTCTTATAATGCATGATCCTCAATCACTGAAAACTTTTTGAAAGAAATCCCCTTTTAATTCATAATTTAGAAATTTTGGTTGTCCAATCTTGTCCTATTTTATTCCAGGCCAGCAGATATTCAAGTCCTGGATGAGAAAGTCAAACACATAAGATACCTGCCACCAGAACCTGAGTTATTTTATAAACCAAGTGAGTCAATGAAATTAATAATTTATAGCAATAAAGTGTGAGTTGGGGGAAAAAGGGGAGGGGTAAAAACACTGTTATGGGGGAGGGGATCATTTAAAGGGTGTCTGAAAATATATGAGAGCATATATACATGTAAGTGTGTGTTAAATTGGGGAAGGGAAAGTTATAAACATACTCAAATGCTATTCAGTAACCATTATATGTGTTATATGATTGAGTTTTATGATTCGAGTACAAGATCATCTGTCTAGAATATAAGATCTGACAATTGGTTTGTTATGTACATGTATTAGGTTTATATATGTAGAGACACATTTTCAAATGTACATGGTGATAATTGCAGCTGGTTGTGAGAAAACACCAATGGTACGGGGAGAAGAAAATGGAGGCCGCCTGGTGTTTATGTATGAACCCCGTTCCACATTTGTAAGTACCCGTACACTTGTTGATGCATTGTAATGCTGAAATTTAATGTGCCAATGATAAAGTAATGGTATAGCAAGACAAAAATTAACTTCAATATACATTAGTATTTTTGTTACTGTGCCAGTTTACAGAGAGTGTTTCCCAACCTTTGAAGGTAAAGTTTATTCAATGTTGGGTTCTGTTTAGTTAGTTTATTTAGGAGATTAGGGGTAAAAAAGGCCAGTTTTACTTTAGAAAAAGATGAAGTTGAAATAATATATTTGATATATTTGGTGTTTGAAATTTTTTTGGAATTTTTAATTTTTTAAAAAAAATTTCTGTGACATTATTTAATACAGAAGAAATAGTCAATGTTAAGTCAAGACAAAAAACCATGAAATTCTTTAAAATGAAACAAAAGAAAAACTATTAAAGACATTTTGTTGATCTTAAAATATGAAATTTGAATAAAGAGGCACATTTTGTGAATGTGAATTTTACATTATAACATACAATGTATAATGAATTCAGCTATGGTGGTTATAGCTCCACATATAAGTAGAATTTTTATCATAACAGTCACCTAGCCCAGGCCAAGAAGAGGAGGTATATGACTTCATTCATTATTTTGTTCAGTTTTCCATTTTTTTTAATATCCCCATTTGGAACCACTGTAATTCAGTTTTCTTTTGACAAGTTTACAAATTAGAAAGTAAAATTTTCTTTCAGTCTGAGAGCGTTTATTGACTTAAAATATCTTTTATTTATAATAATTTTAAAAAATGCGTATGTACTACATGTATTGTTGTGATTATGAAGTTACTGTATACTTGGAAAATTTTAGCCATAGTCTTTTTAATATCTCAATGGCTGAAGTTTAAACTAGCTAGGCTATTTTAACAAAGTATAATTCTAAATGTTAACATTTAAGAAAATCAAATTTCTGAAGAATATGATAAACTAGATTAGACAAATCTGCATTTATTTTAAAGTGTTCAAGTCATATGAAGGAGGTCTATGTTTTAAACCCTTAAAGTGAGGTAGTCAGTACACTGTGATTAATTTGTAATGTTAATTTGTTATGTTATCTTTCAGTTTGTGAGGTCCCGTGTAGGAGGACTTCGCTCTGGACCTCAGAAGTGCAATATTGACCTCGAATCTGAGGAGGATGAAACTCTAATATTTGAATCTCGGTTTGAAAGTGGAAATCTTGCCAAAGCTGTTCAAGTGTAAGAATACAATAATTGTCAGACTATTCTGAAATATTAATTTCAAGCAGCAGTAAACAATTTACACTATGTTAATTACAATTCTAAAATGAAATGTTGAGGTTCCATTTTATGTATGAAATGAGATAGAAGGAAAATGCATACAGTCAAACCTTGTTATTTTGAATGCAGTAGGGTTGAGAAAAAGATCTAATCATAAGATATCTGAGGATTTGAGACATTGAGGTTAAACATAAGTAAAAGTGGTTGGGACTTCCAACTCATTTCAACATAATATATGGATATAGTATTTTAGATAATGTATTACCTGTGTAATGACTGAGATATATAGTTATAAGTTGACTTTGTTTTTTTTCAGTAATTCCACTGATTATGAGTTGTGGTTGAGATACGACCTCTACACAAACAAGCATACACAATGGTTCTACTTCAGGGTATCTAACACTAGGGCCAACAAAACATATCGCTTCACCATCGTCAACTTCATGAAGGTATTGATTCAAAAGAATAATATATAAGTGGGTAATTTCTTTCAGTTGTCTAGTTTTCAGGTCACCTGAGTCACTCGTATTTCTAGTTTTTTAATTTGTTTTCATTATACGATGATTTTTTTTTTTTTACTAATTTGAATGTTTAAAAAAGAGAATTTGTCTTGTCTTTTTCAGTCTGATAGTCTGTACAATAATGGAATGAAACCATTAATATACAGTGAGAAAAATGCTCAACAAAAGAAGATTGGATGGGTGAGAGGTGGAAGTGACATCAAGTACTATAAAAATAATCTCAGGTAAGACAGCTTTGGTCTACAGGAGTACGGATGATTAGAATTTGTACGTTATAGAATGATAAAGGCTTAATTCCTACTGTACATCAAGATAATAAAATATACATTAATGAGCAAACAAATACTTTATACAGGGAAATTTTCGCCTCCGTTATATTTGTTATCTTCCGCCCTTAGACACAAGTGGGAAAATTTAAGATGGGATGAATTCAAAGAAGACAGTATATTTCCTTAAACAGAACTGTGACTGGGCAAATTTAAAATGGGGCAAAATTATTTACAAGTGTGAAAGAGCGAAAATAACACAGAGGCGAAAATAACCCTGTACACAGTAACCTTGAAAATCATTCCTGTGATTCTGTTTGGAGATTGATCACAATATGTTTTCTAAGACATTTACGTAATTGATTAATATTCTGCAATGATGTCATTACATTGTATAAACAAAATGCAGATATTCAAATATTAAATTGTTAGTAGAACTAGATATTAAAACAATCATTTGGTAATAAGAATAGATTCAGATATTATCAAATCTACATGTATATATACAGTTTATCTGGCACTATCAACAGGTATGTTGTGCACCTTCTAAATGTCAATAGAGCTATAGTCAGTCATGGGTATAATTGTTGTATTCTGAACAAAAATACTTTAAGATGCAATTTTCTTTTTAAATATTTCATTTTTAGGCACTTTTAAGAAATGTTCTTGCACTTACCGGTATATTTTAAATTCAAGTTTAAAGTTACAGTTTGACAGTAAAGGTTATATTATTTGTTGAATTTGGTAAAAACTTTTAAACTTTTAAATACACACATATACTTAAAGAAGCGATAATTTTGTCCAAATGATTTTGAGCATTGGTTTGAAAAGGAATAGTTTAATGTGCTTATATGGAGAAGGATTGATGACATAGTATTGGCTAGCATTATTTTATAGGCTCTTGTCCAAATGCTTTGTTTGACTCAGTGCTAATGCAAGTTGTTCATCTAAATTTTTTTTTAAAATATTGGAGTGTTAATGTTACTTATACAGCTTTCAGAGGATTAAAATAGAGAAAAGGCATATTGTTGGCTTTGGGAAAATACTTTGTGTTGTGTTGACATAAAAAATTGTTCTATTCTGCAGATATGGATATAGAAATGATACAATTTTTTTGATTTTTGCAGAGCTTTAATTCATGGCTGTGTGTATACCCATATATTGTCAGTAAAATTTATATAATGAGTATCTGAACTAAGTAGTTTCTGTTTTTGTATAGGTATTCAACGTCTAAATGTGACAAGTCTTTCTACTCTCTGACGTGGACTGTGAAGTTTGAACACAACCATGACACTGTATACTTTGCTCACTGCTTCCCATACACCTATACAGACCTCCAGGTATGGCGTAATTAGGTCTACAATAAAACTTGGTTATAAAGTACTCGCTTACGAGAAAATCCGGGGTATTTTTTACCAATCCCGACAAGGACTTTTCAATATGCTTCTTGTACAGATGTAAAGAATCTCAATGAAATTTTGATCCCAGGGACTTCCTTATATTAAACAGAGTTTTACTGCATACCTACAGTATTAGATTGGATATTCATTGCTTCATAGACAGAAAGTATTGATTTGTCAAATTTTGAAATTATCACACCTGAGAAATACCCATTAGATTATCTTGCAATGAAGTCTGTTCTCATGGTTGGATGACATCAGATCATTTGATTTCTTTTATAACTTTACAGGACTATCTTCTGGACCTCAATAATGATCCAGTGAAGAGTAAGATCTGTAAACAGAGAGTTCTTTGTCGGACACTGGCGGGGAATCTAGTCTACCTACTCAGTATCACCTCCCCCACACAGAACCCAGAGGACATGAAGGTTAGTTAAACTGAACCCTAGGCTTACCTCACTAACTCTTACTCAATAGGGCCAAGAAAAAAAACTTAAAGAAATTCAAGGATTAGAGATGTTGAGGTTGAAATACATAAAGAAAAAGTGTTAAGTACATCCAACGCATTTAGACATATATCCATGAAATTCGAAATTGTTTGTGGTGTTAGAAAAAATGTATTAAATATTTTGACATTTAATTAATGTCAAGAGTAAATTAAATAAAAATGTTTTCAATTCTCACTGTTTCTGCAGCACAAGAAGGCTGTTGTGATCACGTCCAGGGTACATCCAGGGGAGTGTAACTCTAGCTGGATGATGAAGGGCTTCCTTGACTACCTGACAGGAAATTCTGCTGATGCGAAGGTAAACTACTGTCTACTGTTCCTCAGTACTGAGCAAAAATTGTTGGACACTACATACCACACTTTTCAGTGGTGGGTAATTCTGTGTTGTTTTATGGCCTGAATATCTGAACTCGGTCTAATCCTGGGTGGTTGAAGCAAAGCAAAATTCAAAATCTACCAATATCTTACCAAATCTGTAGAGATCTTTAGCTCTTGTAAAGGTGTCTATACTCTGTTGGATCACATAGACACATAGCTTATACTTTTTACACCTCTGTCTGAAAAAAAACTCTGCATATGATAAGACAACATTTAAGATTGATTTCCTTTTACTTTCAGCTGCTTCGTGATACTTTTATTTTTAAAATTGTGCCAATGTTGAACCCTGATGGAGTGATAGTGGGTAACTATAGGTGCTCTCTAGCAGGGAGGGATCTCAATAGAAACTACAAAACGGTGCTCAAGGACTCCTACCCCTCAGTGTGGCATACCAAAAACATGATCAGAAAGTAAGGACAACTGAACTTCTATTGACAAATTTTAGGAATTTAAGAAAATATGAATAGAGAATTGAAATCCATACTTTTCTTTATTCAAAGACTTATTTGTAAGTCCTGTTCTTGTATACTTCTGTATAACATTCCTTATAAAGTTAGAATTTTTAATTTATTTTACTTATTAAATTTAAGATATTATTTTTTTTCTTTGCAGGTTGTTGCAGGAAAGGGAGATAATTGTGTACTGTGATTTACATGGACACAGTAGAAAACAAAATGTGTTTATATATGGCTGTGAGAATAGACACAATGCAGAGAAAAGGCTGAAGGAGAGGGTGTTTCCACTCATGCTCAACAAGAATGCTCCTGACAAAGTATGTTGTTGTTACAGCCAAGAACATACATATTACTTCACACAAAAAAATGCTGCAAAGGTCTTTTAATTTCTTTCAGGTTTAATTTATTTGTTAAGATCCCTGAAAGTTATCATCATTGTGAGATTGCATGATAATACAAGACAGTGTTTAATTTAGTACAGTGAAAACTGTTTAATTCAACACCTGTGCAATCTGTTTCACTGTGAATTCTGACCTTCTGTTTTACTTTAAACTGTGTAATCTGACACCCTGTCCATTCTGACACAAAATCTGTCTCCCAGTTAGATTAGGATTAGACAGGTTTTACTGTATATGATCATATTTTTTGTAGTTGTTAGCACATTATTTGCAGAATCTATATTTTTTGTATATTGGTTACCATGAAAATAATTAAAATCAAATTTATACACAAAAAGGACATTTACAGTGATGACTTGAGAAGAGATAATTTATTTAAAATTATTTAATTGTGATATTTTGACTGTTTGCCATGTAAATATTAGAAGGAGTCATGCAGAGTTCTTAACTTGATAAAGAGTACTGAGATGTAGGATAGCAATTCAGTTACAGGTATATTTATTTTTTTATTATTTGCATTTCTTGAAAAGGTTTTGTTCATTATCACAGTTCAAGTTTGAATCCTGCAAGTTCAAAGTACAGAAAAGTAAGGAAGGCACAGGCAGAATTGTCATGTGGAACATGGGCATCATGAACAGTTATACAATGGAGGTCAGTTACGCATAATTTGTTAAGATTTCTAATAGATTTTCTCTCTTATTTCAAAAGTTCTAAATTGGGAAGAATTATTAGAAAATATAGTAAATCTTGTTTATTCCAGATGTTGTGTATTCTGAAGTCTTGCCTATTATGATGTTAATTTTTAGTCCCTTTCATTAAATTTCGATGTTTTAAATGTTGTCTAATCTGGCCAGTTTCTTTGGAACCAATGGTGTCCAGATAAGACAAGTTTTACTCATGTACACATATTTTTCCCTATGCTGATGATGTGAGATATGGTTACTCTCTAGGCCACATTTTGTGGATCCACGATGGGCAAAAAGAAAGGTTACCACTTCAGTATGGCTGACTTTGAGGCATTAGGATACCATTTCTGTGATACATTACTAGACTATTGTGATCCAGATAACACTAAAGTAAGAAACTAAACAATAATAAAACACTAACAAGATATACCATGTTTTCATATCTAATATTTCGTGAATTTTGCCACCATTAAAATAGTTCAAGGTTATATGATAAGGTTCAACATTACCTGGGTAATGATGTTTGAATATGTTGTGTACTAACTCAGATTTCACTTTGAAATGCTTGCCTACATGATGTTGGTGTGAAAATTTGAGGAAATACATAAATAATGGTAATTATATCAAGTGCATTAGAGTTTAGCCACCATTTAAACAAGCAAACACAGTAAGCACCAGCTTTGAGAAACAAGTCTGACATTGTAGTCTTGTTTGCCTCTCTGATTTTTTTTTCCTTTTGAAATTTTGTTTTAAAGATTTGTATCATGATATGATGATAATGGAACTATGAAATTTGCATGTGCATGAACAGATGTTACCCACATTACAAACATATATATGCGCAGGCATGATTTTGTATGTATGTATGAGGGGGGAAAAATGGCTGTGACCTTCAGACTTGTGCTTTGATTTTGAAATACACATGTACTATTTATTTTCAATATTATGAGAAACATGTACTTCTAAATACTGTAGAAAAACTTTACATGTGGTTTTCAGAATGAGATCAGCTTTGTCGCATTTTCCAAGGATTTCTGTTAGTTATAGGATTATGAACAAACCAATCTGCTAATTGTATTTGTAGTATTTCTGTTAGTGAGGTAGTCATGTTGTTATGGTCATTTGATGAAAGAAAAATATTTGGTAGCCAAAATAAACTGCAGACATATTCATGTTCTATGAATATTTTGTAGACCTGCAATATTCTTCTTGAACTTGAGGAGCGCTTGAAATGGGAGATAATGGTTAAACTCCAGAGAATCTCAACAACAACTACGACAGACATCAACGACATCAACCTTAGTGACTACTCCTCAGATGTAGAGTCAAGGTAGGAGCTTAAATAAGCTCAGGAAACAGAGGGACAAAGACAAAATTAGGCTAGATTCTTAGGAGCTCTATACATGTGCAGAAATGACAGGGTACAGAGGAATAGGGGCACAAATAGGCTAGAGCTGTAGGAACTCTGTAATGGGGATGGGTATCAGCAAAAATTTCTTATCGTGATATATCATGATTTTTTCCCAAAAATATCACGATAAATCTTAATATTTTTACACACAATTTTTACTACAATTTCAAATGAATTTCCTTAATATTTCTTAAAAATATGCTCTAAAAACCTGACTTTACTTTTTAAATTTTTATTTATTTAATATAAACATGTTTGAATGCCGTTATTTAATTGTTTTCAATATTTTTTACACTTTCTTTAATTGTCATTCAATAGTTTGAACAAATAAATGAATAATTTCCAGAATTTATAGTTATGTACCAAATACCAGTACTTTAGTCTCCGTATCACAATACGTATCACTCAATAAAAAATCATGACATACCAGTATACCGATAAAATCGCGCATCCCTACTCTGTAACTGTGCAGAGCTGTAGGAATTCTGTTATTGTGTTATCTTTTTGAGCTATGCATAGGCATATTATTTAATTGTAATTGTTTTTTAGACATTGACCATAATTATATCTTCCTCTTTCAGCACATAATATATATTCAGCTTTTCTTAGGATCCTGGATAGTTTTATAAATCCCAGAGACATGAAATAAAGTGTGTAATGTTTTCTAAAATGAGTGTTTATTTTGAAGTGATGGGGGATCAGACAGTTCAGTATCTGATGGACCACCAGTCCATCTACAATTCAACGCCTCCAGAGTAAGTCTTCATATCACCTTTATATGATATTATATGAATTATTGATAGAACTTAAATGTTTTTGAAGGGTAATTTAAAGGAATAATTTGTAATAATCATTTTTCTTGTCTTTTTATTTCCCACTTTGACAGGAACAGAATGTATGTACTATGCAATGCATTTTAGAGCAAATATTCATTCCTCTGCAAATAGCATTTTTTAACTGTCTAAATTTTTATTGGAAACCCTCTTCAAGAAGTTATATTAAATACATTTTCTTAATACTTGTACTGTACAGCACATTTTTATAATTTCATTTTTTATCAGCCCTTATAAGAGCTTATAATGCATAACTACTAGTTAAACTCTGTATATATTCCTCTAACATTTTAGACAAGATTTATGAGTTTAATTCACCAGTACATGTAATATTATCCTTAAACTGCATGAACCTATATGTTTTCAATTGCATGAAAATACAGTATTATTTACAATCCTGACTTATGTTTTTTAACCATATAACTGTCGATAAAAGGATAAAATCTGCATAAATTAATTTTTACATTAAAAAAAATTATATCTCAGTCTGACATAAATTTTTTAAAATCATTTCATTTCAATCAATCATCTGTGGACAATATTAATTGGTGAGTGCTTTTTTGAATCAGAAAATTTATATTGGTATTCAATTTTTTTTTTTTTAAATACCTCATTTTATTTCTTTTCTTTTTTTTTTTTTATTTGACACTAATGTTTTTCACTTCTGATTATCTACCTGACATATTTCTGTAGTTTTATTAGCCAGTCTAAAGCATCCGGTATGAAAACTTGCAATGAATGAAAATTTTCATTTTCGCCCTCAAGATAGTGATAGGTTTTACTGAATACTTTGTTGATCAGTACTGCATCAATATTCCTAAATTATGTATAACATAATCTTAATCATGGTAAAATATTAAAATCCACTCAGATCAATGAAAATTTAAGATGTATCCAAATTTGGGCATTACTTTCATCCTGAAGACTGTTAGATGCATATTATTTTTCCTCAAGCTTATTTAATCTCACTTGAGCAGCAACTTTTTATTACTTTTTTACACAGCCAACTCGACCTCATTCACGACCCTGTATTCGGGTCATGCCATTTGATTGGCAGGTAGGAAGTCACATGACAAAAGTGTCGCAATAAGAATTTTGAGACTGTTAACCACTGACAACTGAGACATGTTGCTTACCTTGGATAATAATAATAATACTAAAAAATTGAAATTAATCAATAATAATTAACTTACCAAATCCCTTCACATGGTTTTGTCATTTTTTTTTCTTTATCATTATTTATGTTTATTTAACTATTTTTTAATATAAACTTAAACTGTAGAAGAAGAAAGTGGCTTTGGTTTGAAGTTTTGAATATTTTTTTTCTTGTCAGTTATAATTGTGTGTGTTGCAAAAAAAAAAAAGGATGTTTATGTCTAGGCTTGATACAGTGTTTTATTGACTATTTGTGACCTAATCCTATGATATATAAAAACTTATAATAATTAAGATCAAATCTGGATATTACGATTCATGTATTACGCTATAAAGATTCTAATATCTATTCCTTATGAATCATTTTTTACTTCAATTAATTGTTAAAGTAACGAACATGTGTTTTATTATTGCAATGTTTGTTAACAGCCTACTAAAAAGAAGAAAAAGTTGAAGACGAAGAAAGAGAGGGACCGTGTCAGAAGTCTAAAACAGGAGGAACCGCCAAAAAAGCCAGCCCAAGATAGACCTGCATCTGTAAGTCTGCAAATCTGTGATTGTAATGTTATGATGTATAGAATGAGATGCGTGCTACTTCATTTAATATAAATGTAAATAATAAAAGATATTTGACACGACCTTAAAAAAATCAAAGTGGATCAAAATACATTATGATATATTTTAATGTAAATTCTTTTGAGCTATATATTTTCTTATAAAGTTTCTTAAACATTTCTAGGATCCACATGCTTGTGAGAAGAAACCACCTATGTTGACAGGGCATCAGCAAGCACATGCAAAGCAGGAAAAGGTATACATTTTTTAATAGACATTAGATTCTAATAAATAATATCTTTTTAATATTTTCATGTTATTTTATAAAGGTGTAAACCTTTGCTGATCAGTTTTTTTCTTACTGAAATAATCAGGATCTGAGAGGGCCTTAACTTGTTTTTTTTTTTTCTTAAGATAAATTTTCACATTATACTCCATTAATTTTATCCGAAGTTTTACACCAGATTTTTGTTCTAGTGCATTTAATAGCTGAGTTTGTTTATACAATGTACTTTGTTGAAGTCTATTTAAAGTAAAGATAAATGGTTGAAAAATGAAATTGCAGTATTCATTAAAATTTGTACAGGTAAGAAAGGTGATGGAATTTTAAGGAAAGCCATGCAGTTTTCAGCACCCTTACGTCCCTGTATGATATTTCGTAGTTATTCCGTAGTTATGTCCCTTTAAAGATTTTCTAAAACTTAGACTTTTTATAAACAAACCAAACCATTCTGCATGCCAGGTGATTGCATTAGTTTGAATGTTTTCTTTTTTTTTCATGTTTATAGTAGGATTTTCTTTTTTAAATTGAAAAAAAATGTTTTGACTAGGCACTTTTTTTATGGGTGGTAGAAGTGTGATTAAAAGCAGGTGAAGGGAACGAGTTCTTTATTTATAAACAACCCAATATTTTATTGATTAGAAAACGGATTAGTTTCCCACTTTGGTGAAGAGGCTGCTGTAAAATATGAAAAATAAGAAATCAATTTTGATGGCAGGAAAAACATTCTGATAATTCTTCTCTTACAGAATCCCACAGATAATGTAAGATAGTTCAATTTGGCATCATCTTGTCATAGCTCTATATATTTAGAGCCAGGGCCCCAGGCTGTTGAGCTAGTGTCTTTGTATTTGGAGTCCATCTTTAAATTATTTGCATTGGAGGAAAAAGAAATTCATATATTTTTTTCTTTTTTTCACAAGTAGAAGCTTATATTTTTTCAGCCATATTACGGAGTTGCTCCCCTTGAACTGCCACGGATTGGCCCTCCGTGGAAGTAACTTAGGTAACCAGTGTCAACATTCAGAGCTTGAACTAGACATTATACCTAGCTGGCTAAAGAAAGCTATTATGTTGTTCATAGACAGTGCTCCTTCATATTATATGAACTTACAAATGTTGCTTCATTCAAAACATTGAGTAAGAAAAAAAAGTCTGAATTATTTAATTGCATTTTTGAGCTTATTAAGTTCAATAAATATTTTCCAATTACTTTTATATTTGAAGCAGCATATTTTTTGCCATTTTTTGCATATTGTAATTTTTTTTATATCCTGATATGTTCCTTTTTTTTTTAATTCTTGCACCACATGAACTTGCTATAATAAACCATACCTTGATAGGCACTTTCTTGAAAGGCCACTTTTCAAATAAAGCTTAAATTGACAATTCCAGCCATTGAAGAAAAAATCAAGTAAAAGAAAACAAGATTTTGAGGTAGAGAGGTAGACCATGACTTTAACACTGGAGAAAAAGATAACTTGCTTCTAAAACTCAGTACGGGTTAATAAAATATAAACTATCAGTATTTATTGCATGTGCCATATAATAATATATATTCATGGTATATATGAAAAATAACCAGTCTTATTTTCAGGGGAATATATAATTGTCAGAAACTCCAGGTTGCATGGTCTTAATTCTACACAACCATGAGTATCTGACCAGGCCCCATGATCTGCTTTCTATTTTTATCGAAGAAACCTAATAGGTCATTAAACAGATATTCAGATCAGCAAAGCTCCCCCAAGCCAGTAAAATAAAAAAATCCATGCAATATTTAAAAAAGCCTAAACCATTAAATGACAAGTTATGATATTAACAGCTGACTTCACCTCCAACTGGTATGAAGTATACATTAGCTGTAAAGAGGCCCAAATCTAGTGAGGAACATTCAACACAACCGATAATAAATGATGAGAAATCGGAACAACGTGCTCGAAGGGTAATGTAGACACCTCCTCGTGAATTTCATATTGAACGGCCTCTGTTCTATAATTTCTTCCACTTCAATCTCAGCAATAACCAGCACAATTAATTTATTTTTTCACATTTTGACCGAAAAAAAAAAAAAAAAAAAAAACAGCTCAGAAAATATTTATATACTTTCATGTTAAAATATAGGAGAATGTATGGAATTATTTTGCACTTTTTCATTAATGTATCCTATCTAACAATCATCTTTGACTTCTTTAATTTTATATTAGGCCTACACAACACTTTTCAATCCTCGAGACCACGTAAATATGTTAATTAAATTGCCATAAGACCTCTTACTAAATGAATGTTGATCAATGTTCATATTTATGCTTCTTCCAATTTTGCATTTTGGTAATTTCATTGTAGTTAATTTACAATTCCATGATCAATCATATGGCTAAAAATTCTCGAACGGGATGTAAAACAACATATAATCAATTGATTCATATTTAAAAGATTAGGTGATCAACATTTGTTTATAAGCGGAGGATACAACTTTATTAATTTCCTTACAGCAGCCTACGGTTTATCTATAGAGTGTGAATTCTTAACAAAAATGCATGAATTTTAAAATTATATATATATATATATGTTGTCAAGTGAATTTCATTACATATTCAAATAATATTGATCAATTAATGATTTATAAAGCAAAATCAAAAAGCTTTATATAAAAGATGGTGGTGGGATGACAGAGTTTATTAATTTTGGTTATGGAAAACTGAGTGCAGATTTAATCGTAAACTATGTGCATCTCTAAGACATAACAGTTGTGACTAAAGTGAGCAAGAAATTTTTGTTGCAGGATTTTGCTTTGAATAGAATTTCTGCATTAATTTGTTATTTAAAGCTGTCATTTAAAAGTGATGTTTCAATTATCTACATATAAATACCTCAGTTTTGTATGAATGATTTTTTTAAAAATGCATTTTACTTATTACAAAATGCCGATTCTTTTACAGAGTGACTATCTCGAAGCTTTGACAAACGCGTATCTCAGAAATGGATTGCTGGTTCAGGACCAAGGTAGGGCATTTAACAATTAATTAGAAGAATGATGAATGCTTCTCTCCGCAGAATGATGGTGATCTTGCTACATAGCTTCTTAAGCATGATCTGATCGGAAATACAGAGAGATAGATTAAGCCATGATAGAGAAACTTGCATGTGAATCAAGTTGTAGAAGCATGCATATTATAAGGCTACTGGAAGAAGAGAGAATTTAATGTACACATATACTGTAGTCTCTTTTAGTTGTCCACATAGTAATTACAGCATTTAAAAAAGTAAGCCACTGACACAATTCAATCTAAGTAAATATTTTTTTGAAATGCACAAGAAAAAACATATTGCACTTAAATGCCTTGCTGGAATTTTCCTTCTAGGATCTGAGGTTAAATCAAACAAACCCTATCCAAAGAAAGGTACAAATAGATAAATGGGAACCTAGTTTGGATTGTTTGAAAAATATATCTCTATGTATTTGGGTTGGAGGTGAAGTCTTTTTTTCTGTAAAATTTACCCTATACAATTTGGTAAAGGATGTTTCAGTGTAGGAATGGAAAAATGTTAAAGCTGCATTGTCCAGCTAAAAGATTTCTAAATTTAATTTTAAGAAAAAGCATTATTAATCATTTTTTATGTTGGTAAACAAAAAAATATGAGCAATCACTGTTTTATTTCATAAAAAGTAATAGTGAAGAGAGAAAAAGAAAACAACTTAAAAATCTGTTCCATTCCTTCCTACTTGTATGTTTTCAACAAAAAATTCCATAACGCATAGAATTTAGAATATAGTTGACATCAACCAGGACATGATAAACATCTTTGACACAGTCATAAAGTTTCAATAAGAAGTTTGTACAAATATATTTATAAGCCATTACAATGAAGATTCCAATATCTTTATGACTGTGTCCTACTAAGGTTTTGTAGAGTCAGATATGGTAGTGTTTCCAGAATTTAGTGCCATGCAGTATCTTTAAAAAGGTTTCTTTTTCACTTAATTTTCTTTTGCACAGTATCTCTGCTGAATTGGATTTTCAAGTAAATACATATAAATGATAAAATATCTGAAATTTTAAAAAAAAAAGTTATAAGAATGTAAATTTTCATATGAACAGTGCAGTTCTGGTCACACAACTATCACAGAACATATGTTTATAACCATCTACTTTGGTGACTTAGATTACTCTATGGTGAGGTGGGAGAGTGCCACACTATGGCCGCTTTCTTGTTTTGTGTAATCACGCAGCATGATATTGTCTTTCTCTGCCTTTTTTTCTCCTTCAGCAGCTCCACATTTCCGTTACTCGGGCAACAAGGTATCTCCGACAATTCCTTTTAATCTGGACGGATTGTGCCCTCACCATGAGCAGACATTTGCTGCTCAGTATATGGCACAGCAAATACAAAACATAAACAGTGGAGGTAATCAGGAACAGAGTTATCCCCCCTTTTAACCTAACTCTTTTGTGTCTTATCTGTGTGAGTTAAACCCTTTCTGCTTTTCTTTCACTGTCTCATTGTCATTTTGCACGTTGTGTTTATTAGTGCATTGCAGCTTTTGAGATTTTGCTTTTTTGTGTTTAAATAATATGATTATATACAGTATATATATTTATTGAAATGTTTCTTTATTTCTTTGTTTCAGCTGAAATAAATTAAATTTTAAAAATTTAAAAACTAATTAAACTGATTGAATTCTTTCAGTATCATAATGAAAAATGCCAAGATTTATGAAATAAGACTACATTTGATTATGTCTTTCATTATTAGCTATATTTGAACAAGGCCCAGTAAAATCTGATAGAAAGTGTAAGTTCTAGTGTAGCTGGGCTTAATTAGCAGTATTCATAGAGTAGCTGTAGATATCAGATTGAAATAATGATTTTTTAAGAATTAACTTTTATAAATACATATATAATTACCTTACTTTGTATTCTTAACATTATTAAATAATTGTTAAATTTTTTTATTCCTCATACATTATAAGTTTACCAATAACAGTCTTCTTTTTGCAGCCTATTTTTTTTTCTTTCCTTAGTACTAATATGCTGTGCTGCTCATAATCTAATCTTGTCAAGCTCCTAATTTCTAAATTACTTTATACACTGCAAAGTTTGACACTCACTTTTTTGCTAAAACTGCTAAGTTGCAGAATGTTATAAACATACTCTTTATTTAGTCTGGCGACTGCCAAAATCTAAAATTTTAGATGTGGGAACATATGTAATGATATGCATTGAAGAAGTTTATGAGCAGCAGCTTGGCTTTATTATTATTGAAAATCATTGCTATATTTGGAAACCAAGTGTTGATGTTGTTTTGTCAATTGTTAATGATAGATCCAGATTGGTTGCTACATGGGATAAGAGGACGACCCAAAATTCTCAAACCATTCCGTCAAAAAAATCAGGATGAGATAATTGCAAAACTTTTAGGGATGCCTGCAGGTAGCTTACTCCCATTCATCTCACAGGTGGCAGAGAAGGAATATTCTTGGTATCAATTCTCTCTCATGGAAATTATTTTTTTTTAATTGCCAAAAAAAAAAAAAAATCAAAGAGAGCCTCTAAGACACATTTCAGAAAAAATTTTTGCTTAGGCAACACTTTAAAGAAATATAATGGTAATGCCAAATTTCATATGAGAGGGAGATTGATTTGCACTTGTGAGGGATGTAGGAAATGCATGGGCTTATTTTTAGTTATAACGAGACCGTAATCATATCAATCAGCTTATCAATCATCCATATCCGACCCACCCACCTATTTTCACCACAAGCTTTTGTTTGTCGTATTGCACTTTTTGTGTTATGTGTTTTAGTGGAATGCTGTTATTTGTTTAAACAATTATAAGCTTAGATTTTGGTTAAAATTAGGAGAATCGCAGTGGTGTTTGTAGTATTGACACTTGACAAAAACTGTACACAAATGTATGGAGAGTGCTACAGCATGTGATTGTGCAATCTTTTAGTTGCTGTGCCAGAGGTGTGCCATGCACATGCTCCACAGCTTGGAACAACAGACAGCATTGTGACCACCATGGCATATTCAGGGCCATTTGATGCCCTTGTGACCCCTCAGACCCTGCTAAAGGGGGGTCAGCATGCTGGAGGTAGTATCACTGGGAGTGGTTGAAAAAAATAAAACTAGCATCACCTGCAACAGGCACACTAATGTTTGCAGGTCTCAAATTGGAAAGCTGTACTAAACAGTTGCCATTTTCATTAAGTAATGTGCATTTTTATGGTACACTAATGGGAACAAAATATGCACCTTCAGTTAAGATTGTAAAATTAAATTAAAAAAACAGATTTGTGAAAATATTAAATTAATTATTGTAAATCACTTCTTATTCACAAGTCAAACTTTATTTTTGCATAATAATGCGAGACCATCTGCTTGCGAAAATTTCATTCTCACATATAATTCTACTGTAAAGATTGTATAAAGCAATAACCAAAATTCATGAAAATTTTGTTTTGCTTAGGCCATCTTTAAGAAATTGTTTGCCCTCTCTCGACCGACTGACTGAAATGGCCTGACTCAAAACTTTTTTTGAATCTGCAGGAAACAATTATTTTTTATGCATTCAGAATAATAGATTTTAAAAATTCGGCATTGATCTTGAAATTTTCTTGGAAAATATTTTTTTTACCAACCTACCAACCCAATTTTTTCATCCTGAGTCGGGAGAGGGCAAACAAACATTATTTTAAAGTTGGCCTTATACATACCAAGACCACATTCTCATGAAAATAAGGTGTCGTGAAAATTTAGTGATCTACAGTACTGGAAGTAAGTGTCAGGATTGTGAAATGAAATTACACGTTATAATATTCACCAATTTGAGACTTGAGTTTGAAATAATTTTAAACAAGCAAGTTCAGGAATTTGATATTTTTAATCTGTGTATAGATTGCAGCAGCCATTTAAATTGTGGCATTTTTTGCAGTAGTTTTGTAATATTGTGTCTGTTGCCAGAATTAGATTTGCACAATTTTAGTAAAGAAACTGGTATTTGTAATACTAAGAAAATTATTAACTTTAAAATTATTATGCAAGGATTGACTAATGTAATGAATATATGGCACCAAGATTGCACATGTGTTGAGTAATTTAGAAAATAATTTGCATGTTTTTAGATATGTGCCGTGGTTAACAAGTCCACCTTCAGTCTTGATGAATTACATTTTAAACTTTAATGTGCATTTTTTAAAAAACAATTTTCAAAGTCTGTTTTTAATAAGTTCATATTTTAGTTACTGTGTAGTTAGAGATTTGGTTAATCCATTATGTCCACTTCAATGTTACAAGATTGTCTTGCTCACTCCATTTGTATTGTAAATGTTAGCAGTGTGCCCACCTTTGAGACCATTGCCCATCCCAGGTGAGAGAAGGTTGTGGGGTTATAGATAGGATAGTCTTAGGTCTATTGTACATTGTGGAGGAGACACAACTTAATGAGGACAGTTTTGGTGGTTGGTTGTTATAAGAAAAGATTCTCACTTAATTCCCAAATTGTGGAGTAGAATCCCTGTAGTTAGTCAATATTGAGTACTTGTTCCAAGTAATATCCTTCACAAGAAAAACATGGACATAAAAATCTTTGAGAGTGTATTGATTTCCTCAATGTAACTGAGAGTAAGGGTATGAATCTTTTAATATATCTTATATATTGTACAATACTCTATTCTTTAAATAATTTTTCTTGAAATTTAATGATACTTATTTCGATCATTTGCAAATCCCATGAAAGCCTATACATACACAATTTTTCTGAACTCTCTTCCACTTACATTGCTTTGAACACAAACCCAACAGGGTTCGACACTAACGTTAGTCCGTTAGTCTCAGACTAATACATTTTCATTCAGACTAGTAAAATCTGTGGCTAATTAGTCCGAGCGGACCAATAAAAATTTCTGGAAAACAATATGAATAAATTACCGATGTCCCATTCTCGACAACGTTTACTGGAAAATCTCCGTGTATTTTTAGATTTCTAGCTTTTGGCGGGTAGTTACGCAGTTCTGAGTCATGATCGATATGAAGTAAAATGTTTTTAGCGATCATGATTTAGTATGACACTTTAAAGAAAGATGTTGTACGTTTTGGATGTAATGTAAAGACTAAAAAAAAACGAGATCGGGAATACGATCGTACTTGCTGATTGCGAGATTTCAACGAATCTGTGGAATAATGTATTTCACGTAAATGCTTTGTTTTTTTTTCAAAAAAAGTATAAAACGTCTATTAATTGTCAATTTAAATTAATGTTTAAAAACATTGATGTTTCTTTTTCTTTTTTGACGGACTCATAAAATCGCGTGCGGACTAGTAAAAGTAAAGAAGCACTAGTCCGGCCGGACTTAATCCTTAAAAAGTTAGTGTCGAACCCTGCCCAAACTCCTCTATCCTGGTGGATGGTTTGGTCTGAATTGTCATCAACTTTGCATGGATTCAGCAAAAAATTTCAGCTTTTCTAGTTGTTTTGTCAAAAAAGTTTTAAGTTCCTCTGCTTTGATATTAAATATCATTTTCAAGCTTCTATTTTTTGGTAAGTTAAAGTTTTACATGTATATTTAGTGTTTTTGCTTAAATGAGTGTAATAAGGAAAAGACTTGCTTGTTTAGTTGTAGGAAATACCTTTGTAAAGGTTTGGAAAGACAGGATACATAAATCTAGGAGAAGCAATTTCCGTAAGACCCTATTCGTACATGTAGTTCATTTAGAGTAGTTTCTTCCATATGTGCTTAGTCTTACCACTTTCACTTGTAGTTTTTTTGGTAGACAATTCATGTTTTTGAAAAAGAAAGCAAATACAATGTGATGTAAAATATAAAATTATGTGGTCAGATGTATGGAATTTAATTAAGTTCCCTTTTGTTTAAGAAGACAAATTATGCATATTGTATTTTCTTTCTCTGTAATGGCATTGACAAAAAGTACCGGTACCTGTTTATCATATAAAAAGGCTTCTTTTGTCTTCCATTTTCCTGGGGGGGGGGGGGGCATATTTATTTACAAATTGACAAAGTACTGTAGTATATCCAAATTGTTTCTAAATCTACAGTAGCTTAGTACACCTTTTTTAAACATGCTCTTCATGCATTTTTTCTCATAAAAATATAACTTTTGCATTGTCAACCTTTGATTTTAGGTAACCTGGGTCAATTTAGTAATATGTTGCTATCTTTTTCATCCATTCATCACCCTTCTTGCATTATGGATAAATTTGACTTTTCAACTTGGAACAATGGGCTTATTTTACCAAATTCACTACAAAGTATCCATGGACAATAGAGATTCACAATGAAGGGCAATATGGGGCATCTACCCAGATGAGAAAAATTGAAAGAGAGTTGTACCTTTATTTTTAAAAATCTTCTATTAACATCAAGCCAGAAATAAAAATAAAATTATATGCATTAGGCTAACTTATATGTCTGTTCAAACTATGGGCACCAAGACAGGAATTGAGGCTTCAAGTGGATTCCTTATTCATACTAGCATTTCAGATGTTTTAGTTTTCTTGCTATTTCTTCTTAACATGTATTTATCATCTTTGTACCATAATGCAATTCAAATTCATATCTTTATTTCCATTACATGATGACTTTTTTTTTCCAAATTGATGTTCAGAAACTTCTTAAGCTTTGAAATTGATGGGACTGTTCTTGCATTTATTTTTATCAGTTTCAATGCATATTTTGTTGTTGAGGGCATTGTTCTATCAGTATGTAGAATATTTACAGTTACTGGGATAACTTAAGTGAAAAAAATATTGCTCAGAAAATCTAGAATAAATAAAATAGTAAACATAAGTAACTTGTACATTGTTTAATTAACAAGCAAACACGATTTCCAGATTTGTCACTTAAAAGCCACTGCATGAGATTTTTTTGTTTATTGATGTACACTCTTTAATCAAAGATATTTTGTTGTTCTGGTCAAACACATAGAGAAATATTGAAATCATTTAATTGCCAATGAATAAAAGAGATTCTACTTTAATTAAAACTCTCGTATTCTGAGAATAATACTGTTTAAAAATGAAATCTCTTTACTTTTTGACAGCGGATGCCACAATAGATGAGATTGTACGTTCTCAGATCACCCACCAAGCCAGTATCCCCCTCACCAGACAGCCAACTCAGAGACACATCTTGGAGGTGTCTGCAGCACAACAAAGGCAGCAGGATGTGCTACTTCAGGCACGTAAACATGTAAGCACTGTGCACAGCATGTTTTTGTTCACTTTTGATTCGATCAACTCTAAAAAAAATAAAAGATATCGAAGTTTGGAAAGATAATAAACCTCTGGTCCCAGTTAATGTTTATGTTTTAAAAAATTTTTGTTATAAGAAATTCAGATTATATTAATTACCACAAAAAATATTTGATGAAGTAATCCAATTTTGTTCATTTCAATAGTTTGTTATCATGCATTTCTGCTAAATACTATGTTTTAAATTAGAAAATTATGATAATTGAGACAATGATCTATCAAAAAAAAAACTTTGAAAGATGCTTTTAAAATCGCTTATGGTTCATATTCTGGTACTCAGATTGCTGCTAAATGCTAATAATTTGCAAGAAAGAAAACAACTTCTTCACTTGAATGTGTTCACAGTTTGTTTCACCGTTTTTTTCATTAGTTTATTTGTGAAAGAGTGTGACATATTTATCAGTATTCTTGTTGATGCTATATATGTATATATATAATCAAAGAGGTGGAGGGTGTTTGTCATTAAAAGTATATACTTACATTATATATATACTCCAATATTCAAACAAGACATTAAGACAAAAGCCAGTGTATTGCGGCAGATTTATCGCTCATCGTTGATTTTTGTATGGTGTCTGATGTTGATGGTTCCTTCTTGTAGCCTGACTATCCGGTAGTGGGCAGATTGTGCTACCGCCACAAACTGGCCATCAGCCGAGACCAGATCACCCCCAATCTGGTTCTCCTCCAAGATTCCCTTGCCCAATCATTTGTCCTGCAGGTATAGGATGCATGCCCAAATTCCTAACTGTGTGTTATAATAATTAAAGGCTAAAATGTGCTTTTCCTTTAGATTTAGACTACAGACCAAAAAAATCAAAAAGTGCTAATGATAGTTGCTTTTAATTACCTTTGATAACCACACAGACTCAATCTTTAATATGCCAGAAAATTAAAAACATTGTCCAGCAATCCATTAGATAGTTTCGACTACCAACCAACACCAATGCTAATTATAGCTGCTTATGATAACCCACTGACTCTCTATATAACAGAACATTGTCCAGGTAACTGTATTTAACCATCTATGTAATGGATAAATAACGAGATGGTGTTGAATAGTTTAGAGAAAACATTCCCTCCGAGGGCCGAAGGCCCGAGGAGGGGATGTTTTCTCTAAACTATTCAACACTATCGAGTTATTTATCTTACTTAAAAAACTTCCCCACTTTGGACCCCAAAGAAACATTTACCCATTCATATATCCAACTTTGCTGTAATACAATGGGATCTAGCCCATTCAGATATCCAACAGTGACACAATACAATAGCCTAATCGAACACCCCTTTTATTCATGGACTAGTGAGCATGAAACCGCATGGTGCTAATGTCATTTCAAACCTTTCCATTGTTCTGAACAGTCATGAAATCAGATGAAGAATAGTTTTAAATCCAATGTAAATTTAGAGAGGTTCAGATAGTGTTTTGAATACTTTTGTCCTGAAAGCAGAAGAAAACTACAAAATTTTGATAAAAGGTTGGAAATTTATCATTACATGTAAGATGATGATTTGTTGGGGAAAAGTGTTGGAATCTTGCGGAGCTCCATTCGGACAATACTTCTAGTAGCTATAACAGATGAAAAGATTGTCGGTTTTATGCGGAACCTGCTTTAAAAATATTCCATATCAAGATTTGCAATAAAAAAGGGTGACAAAAAATAGATGGGGTGTCAATTTATTAAATTGTTTTGGGAAGTACGCTGGAAAAGTATGAGAACAGAGACAAACCTCGAAAAATCTGAGAGGATTTGCTAATAACGCATTCCTGAAATAACATTCAGCAACAGGAAGTGATGTGGATTAAGATTCAAGGTGAAAATGTATTCAAAAGCATGTCAAAAAGTAATGCTTTCAAAATTTAAGACCGGAAACATTCTATTAAAATACCATCGGATAAGTATTGGATATTTTATTGACGACAAGTGTTAATAGTGTGCAAAATTCGAAGGAATTTAATTTTTGTGAGCACTGAAAGTATATTTTTAACACAATTCTAATGGTGTGAAAAAAGTGATTAAAATTCCGTGTGCATTGGACATAAATTCTAATAGTATGACATATTCGCAGTAATTGTTTTTTATGTGCATTGGAAATACATTTTCAACTCTTTTATCTCTTTTGTTCATTGCTTAATTATGTTTGTATGCACAGTTGGATATTTAAATACCCAACCGATAGGCAGTTGGATATTTGAATATCCAACTGATGGCCAGTTGGATCTCTAAATATCCAACTAGTGATGGTTGAATCGGTAAAATATAAGTAGACCAATAACAATGGGTGACGTCATTGAAGTTTTTTAAAGCCCACATTCAACATCTCTTAACTTTTAAAAACAAAAGTTTCATAGAATATGCAAGCCAGATAAAACGACATTAGCAGAGAAAAACACACTAGCTGCCAGTTACACATACTTTAGGTTTTCATATATAAGACCTTTTTAGTTGCTTTACAGGATCATCCCAAACAAGATTTATAAAGACACCTCCTCCCCCTCCCTTTCCTAATAATCTGAGTGATAAATTCACAGACTACACAGCACTGAACTCAAAATCTATAGTTTATACCACATATATTAAATGCCATTTTCAATCAAGTTTTTCCATATTAAAATTTAATATGTGAATAATGCTGAAACTAAAGATTTTGCAAGTGCATGCTACTACAACCTCACACCATTTGCACACTTTGTAAAGTTTGAATCTTGAAATGGGAAATGTTTTTGGATATCAGTATGTTGTTTTATAATGATGATATTAATGATGTTCTTGTTCTTACAGGGAGACAAATCAGGTAATGCCATTCGTCAACACCCTAACCCTTTTGATGAACAATATAGTCATGGTAAGCTCCCTTACTAACACCCTCCCTCCTGTAACCATGGTAATGACCTCCCACAAAACCAAGCCAATGAGAGCCCTATGAGTAAAGGTCACATTTGCATGTAGATTGAATGTTGTATATATGTGTACATATATTTCACACTGTAATTCTTCACATGGGGACCTTGGGTACTTAAGATACTAAAAATTACATGTAATTAATTATGCTTTAAAAAATTGAAACATATTTATTCAAGTAATCCAAGTTTTTAGAGAAATGTTAAGCATACCTCCATATTCATCTTTGTTGTATTTATTAACTGTAATATCGGGGATGAATTTTAGGGAATTTTAAAACTTGAAACTGGGTGATTTGCATGATTTCTCATATTGTTCTAATATTGTCTGTGCATGTTTGTTGTAACTCATGGCCAAAGGAATGATATAAGGTATTTAGATGGTAATTTGTCTTCAAATTGGGAAATAAAATGAAGAATTGTTCCTTTTAGAGTCAGAGTAGTCTCCCCTAGGGTTTCCTGTAGTTATTCCTCTTTCCAAAATCCTGCGACATTTTTTTTTTCAACTGCTTTGATTTTCTAAGTTGTATATCGTAGATCTTGTGTTGTAGATTATGATAAATAGATGATGGTGTCATAAAATTATAGAAATAGCATGTAATTACTAATTATTACTCCAGGAAATACATGTAATACGATTTTCACAATCATAGCATGATCTGCAGTAATATTTTGCTTGAAATCTTAATTCAGAAAGGCTTGATAAATTGATGAAGTGCATGCACAATTTTAATTCATGTCATTTGAGAAATGCATATGATACGACAATTATAACATTGCACAAAAGCTTCCAAAAATATATCTGCACATCGTAATAATAATTGTCAATAATTCAATTATAATAGTCAGGAAAATTATTTTAAATTTATATGACTGCGTTTTTTGGTGACTACACAATTTTACATCCAGATTGTAGATTAAAGATTTCAAACTAAAAAAAATAAATAATTTCATTTTTTAAAGAATTATGATTTAAAAGGAAACATTCAAAACCATATTTTTGTATGGATCAGTCCAAAGATTTAAGAAAAAATGAAATTCGTAAGATTTCGATGTGAGTAAATATTGCTAAACTTTGAAATTGCATTTGGCTATCTCAAGGGATTCATAGAGAGCTTGAAAAAATGTACTCACTTTGGGCTGCCCCTTTTTCAGCAAAGAACAACAGACCTCGAGCACATGTGCCTGAAACCTCTTTCAATCATTATGAACTCCAAGATGACACCAAAAGTCACCCTCCACCTGAAGAACATGTACCACCACCACCCGATATGGACACCACCTCAGAAACCACTGCCAGAGAGGAGCCCGAGGATGAAGAGGGTGGTGAGTTGGTTCTTTAACTCAGAATTTCTGGAAACTTCTAGAACCTACTTGCTGTTCTTTCAATTCTTCTTCATTTTGCCTTTATTTGGAATTCTGTGGTACTGTAATTCAACTTTTAACTGAACCAATTTCAAAATAAAAAAAAAAAGTTTTCTTGACACACTATTTTTTTTTGCAGAACCATTTCTTTCTTAACTGGTATTTTCTACTCCCTGTTGTTAATATTTTCAAATCTCTGTGTTCCCTAACAAACAGAATCTCTTTCTTCACTCTCCAGAACACAGAAAACATGGTCATAAAGGGAAACATAAAGAAAAAGGAGGAAGAAAGAGCAGAATGGGTAAACATTACCATCAGCTTATCTTTATATGTATAGACTAGCATTGTTGATGTTTTGTTTTCATGTTAAAAACTTATGAAATAGAAGTGGGGAGGGGGAGGCCAAGAAATTTGGTGATAAAAAAAATCTGTTTATGGCACAATTAAATGCCATAATGCTGCTTTTGTTTAGCATAAGAACTAAAGAAGTGTTTTCATGAGGAAGGCTAAAAATTGATCCTTAAAAATAATAGATGCAATATCTAAAGTATCACATACTCTGTGGCCATATGCAGTTTAAATGCAGTGTCGATAAAATAATTGCTTTATGGTGATGGTACATTTACTGGTAAAATCATTGGTGATGGAATATAACATGTATGTGTGTTGTTTGTAACTACTGATATCATTATTTCTTGTGCCTGTGTAATGTAGTAGGCAGGTTTTTTTTAGCTGCTCGGATTGTCTGATTTTTCATTCAACAGTTGAGGAAACCAACATTTTGTACCAGTTTTCACAAGACAAGAAAGCTCCAACTTATGTACCTACCTGTGTGCAAGATTCCATTAATCCCATAGAATTAGCCCTGGAAAGAAAATTCTCAGTTGTGATACCACAGGAAAATAATGTTCCATTTCTTACAACGAGGGAATTAAAAAATCCAGGCAGGGAAATTAAAAATCTCGGCAGGCTCATTTTGCGTAGAGGCTCAATACAAGATCGCACTACTTTCCAGCGTAATTGTTTTCCTCAGTTTAGAACTGAGTTGCGGAAATCTTTTCAAGACTACTCTTCGTATACTGGTATTGACGCCTTCATGAATTGGGTTCCTGCATTTCCTGCATTTTCCGGCTGAAATTTCACTTTCACTTTTAACTGTTTTTAGTTTTCTAACTTATTGTTTTGTTTTCTATTTCAGTTAACTTTCACACAAAGTTTTTATTTCATATATTCTGTTTCAGGTTTTACATATCTTTTCTCAAAGTACAATGATGAAACAACCTTATTTACATTAATTACATAATTCTGTTTGAAAATAATTGCAGATACCTGGATCAAAATTTTTCATTAACTTGTTTTGAACAGTTCATCATTTTACACCCCCCCCCCCCAAAAAAAAAAAAAAAAAAAAAAAAACACATATAGATGAAGTCTCGAGAAAAATATTCATAATTTGAATAATGATAGAGTCATTTATTATATGACCTACAGTCATGAAAATTTTTACCATTTTCACAACCAAACTAAATACATGTATAAGCCTATGTAAATATATTTGATTTTCCTTTTCTCATGAATTTCATTCAGTATTCTTTCATATGAAATTTCCATGAAATTTTCATCTGGAATTAATATATTATTTATTTATTTAATTTTTGCCTGTGTAGATTTGAATTTGTCCCTTAGGTGAATCACATTTGTTAATATATTTAATTATTAAATTGTACAAAAGCACATGCACATTAATTTTAGGCATAAAGATTCATTAATCAATCACCTGATTTATAATCACAGTGTTTGCATTTGCAATGAAAACAACACAAGTAAAAATAAAACACCAAAATAACTCAACTATGAAATCATTCCCTGGCCCCCCAAAATTAAATTGCCATAGCTGAAAATATGTTAATTGTTAATTTAACTTGACACTAATTGCACTATATAACTAGATTGTATTAAAAAATACTGACCAAGAAAGTACACAAAACTTAGTATATAAAATAATATTTAAATGTACTTATATAGGAATGAGGGAGTCTGATGATGATGCATCTCAAACAAAAGAGGGTCCAGACTACATACAGGACCCTCATCATCATGGGGGACCTCGGGTCAAATCGGCCAAAGGGGGCAAGGACTTGGACAGCATGGTGGAGAGCATTAAGGAATTGCGACAATCATTGGCTAATAATGCCATGCAGCAGAATCTCAGTCCAACAACAGGGTAGGTTTTATTCTATAAAAACTTTAATTTTTCTTCTTTTACCTGGAGGGAGGTAAGGAGGGGGGATAATGCTAAAATTATCACTTACTTAGATCACCTTTTTTTTCTCTAATTTATAAATACATTACAAAGTTGAATATTAATGCCCTGATATATAGCCTATTTTCCCTAGTTGTAATTATTGTAATAGAGACTTGTAGATAGAACACCTGTAATGAAAATATTTCCATTAAGTGTAGTTATTGTGATAGATACTTCTATAGAATAATTAACCTCCAATAAAAAGTCTCAGTAGATTGCAAACTCATTGAAGGGAGGGGGGGGGGGGGGACACGAAAAATTCTTAAATCTTATTGATAAAAATTTCAGTGGTTATATAAAAAGACTGATGAGAGAGACCGGCGAGGAGATTGAGGAACTGACCAATGAAATCCGACATGACATCGAGGTAAGGTCCCACTACAGCAGTTGATGCATGATACCTCTCTGATATACAGCTGTTTTACTGGCATGTCTATGTTGAAAGCTTTGACCTGCTGACTTTATAGCCAACTAGTCATTTTGTGTAGACAGAATGAGGCAAGATTGTGCGATGAAATATTTTCCTCAATGATGCTGTTGCTAATTTGCAACTGAAGTAGAATTTAATTATTTCAGTAAAAAAAATGAATGATCTACTAAAATTGGTATTTTTGTCAACACACAATGACTGGTCCCTTTTTGCTAGATACAATATATAACAGCATGTATATAGAGCAGTCATTCATATATCAGTTTATTCCCTCCTTCTTGAAATATTATGGAACAATCAAACTACAAGGGGAAAAAAAAAAAAAAAAAAATTCCATTTTTAGCATTAAATGATATTCATGGAATTTTTTTTCAAATGTTTGATTTGAATAAATTTTTCCAAGGTTTGAAAAAAACATGCACTATAAGAAATTAATAGACAAATTAACACTATTCCGTAGACTATGAAAGTGTGCTTTTTATTTCTCTACAATACTTTCATAACAAGTACTTTCCTCTGAGAATATACTGTAAATACTAATTCATAAAGAAAAATAGTCTCATTAATATTCTGTAAAAACATTCCCTTTCAAAAACAATTTCTCAGGGTTAGGGTGATGTTTCCAGGTATTTCAATATTAACATTCTGTCCATGGCTCTTGGTATTTTGTTACAGCAAGAACGTAGGTTGTCAAAGGACAAACAGAAAACAAAAGATACTACTAGAAAGTTTCAATCACTTGATGATTACAAAATTAACAATGAAAATCGAAACTACAACAGCCAAGCTATGTCCATTGGTAATAAAAGTAAGACTGTGTTAACCCGAGAACCTCCGGGCAATACTTTTGATGACAAGAGACCATTTAATGCCAGATTCAAATCCAGGAGTGTGACTAATTATCCGGTCAGTGATAGGACATATGACAGAACTCAAAAGTGGAGAGATCCAAATCTTATGATCACAGGTGACACATCAACGGTCAACTACAGCAATACATATGTCACAAATGTGAGAAAATCCACCTCAGAAACTGCTTACACCATCCCCGCTAGTAATGCTAATGATACAGTGTATAACAGCAATGCAGGGGCTAGCTCACATAGAAATAGCTATATACCAAACACAACATCCACTGCCACTCAAACTTCATCAAAGATAGAGAGGTCCTTCCCCAGGGTAGAGTTATACCCAGGAACTGACCATATGCATCCAATTAGGGTAGCCGATGCCAATGGATATGCTATTTATAACACCAAATCAAAAAGTGCAAAGGATCTACGAGACGGAATAACCAATTTGGTCACTGGTAAAGAGGACCGCAAGTCCAATGACAAAACAGAAAAATACTTTGAGGTGTGTCTCTGCATGTGTGTGCTTGCCAGTATATTCCTTGCTTTTGTTCAGGCACGACAAGCAAATGCATATTTCATTGGTGAAACCCAGGAAAAAATTTAGATAAATATTAGTTTGATAAAATGGATTCAAAGTCTTTCATTCTTAGTCTTTGTAAGTATGCATTTGCTTTGCATGATGTCAAAAAATTCCATTCTGCTGAAATGGAAACACTTGAATGCATGAATAAACAAAAAGATAAAAGAATTTTATTGATTGTAAGAAAATCTACTGAAATTAATTTTCATATTCATACACTTTGCTGCCGTTTCTTAGTTTGAAATTACTGGATTGAATCTTTCTGCCAAAAATCGTTCTCCTGGGAAGGTAAGAAATGGCCCTGGAAGATAAGACTTATTACATGTTGATATGCGCTGGTATGACTATGACTAATGCAACTATTTATAGTAACATGTACTCAAATGAATAATCTTGCAATTTCAGAATACTAGTATGATACATGTATAACAACGTTGATTATATTAAATGGCACTACAGTGTATATATGGTTAATAGCATGCATAACAAATACTAATTGATATGTCAAGTGTTTCCATAATCAGTGGGGAGAGGGGGGGAGTAATCGGTGCTTTAAACCAGCTGTATTATTTTGTTTTGATGTAGTATTTGGACCAGTTGAAAATCACGGTAATATTAATTGAAGATACTTTGAATCTCAAAGCATTAAATTTCTCTCAAAGTCTGCTTTGGTACATAAGCTTTTATTAATTTAAACCCAGTCTTTTATGGCTGATGGGTTTTTCATATCATGGAATCCTTTTTACTGTCTCTGTATAGACAAACATGTTTTTTCTACATCTATTTTTTTCATCAGTAGATGCATGTACTATTCCTTTATTTGAATAATTAGCATAACTACTATTGTTGCTGGGGAGTATTTCATACATTAACACAAAGATATATATTAATAAATTTCCTATATTAAGCAATTTCTATACAAAAGTAAGATGTATTTCGCAAATTGACAAATCTAAATCAAACAGCATGATAATTAAGCTTCATTATTGAATGGTTAAGGGTGAAACCTTTGTTTGCTAGGGTTTGGGTTCTTGTATTCATGTAGTGTTCTATACCTATGGTAACTTTTGCTTCTAATGACACGTTTTAGCAGCACCAAAATCGAGTGAAGTCTGCCAAATCGGGTCGCCATTCAGTAGGTAAGCAGACCGTCACGCCGACCTCACTAACAGGTATAGTTTGCCGTTCTCACTTCTAACTCTTCTGCTTATAATTCTTCAGATCACTTAATATCTATAGTAGATAGTGAAGTAGATGTAGATATTTTTAGTTCAGTTTTTGTTAATCCTCCTATTAACTATTTTTAGTATTTCAATATTAAGTATTTATCCTGTAGGACAAGTACTCTATATATGTAGTTTATATAGAAATAATTAAATTATTATATATACCCAGTAGTATGCATTCTATGTTGTTAAATTATTGTAACTATTTATGCTTACTGTTACACAATACCCTATTTTTTTTTCACCGCCATCCTTTCCTGTACAGAATTGTAAAATATTCCATTGAGATGATTTGACTTTGTGATGTTTTCTTTCGGTTTTATGTCACGCCAGCAAAGTTAATGCTTATATGATTAATATTTGCTTGACTCTGGAATATTTATTTACACCCCTTCAACAAAAGTTGTAGGGGAATATACTGGAATCCTCCTGTGTCCATCTGTCTGTATCTTGGTCTGTCTGCATGTCAGCAGATGCTGTGTTATGCAGTTAAGCTCAGCATTGATACCTCTAGTCAGATGCTTCTCTGAATACTCAGTGTGATGCATGCTGTGGATGCTGCATCTGATTTATGTTTCATGCTCCAGTAACTAGTTAACATTTACGTCAACTTCTGATGTATCATTAAGTGGTATCCAAACCAAACTTGCACCTGTGCATCTGTGCATGCTCCACTGGACATATGCTTTGCTACAGCATGAAACCTATATATTTTTTACTCCAGTGTCTCTGTTAAAGATAAGCAGCTGATCATAAGTGCATGAGTGACTGATTATGTTCAGCATCTAGGCCTGTATATAGCTTTTCATATCCAACCAAATATGCAGACATTGTTCAATATGATGCAAGATTTAAAGATTGCATCAAATATGCATGAATGACTGGTAAAGTACAATGCTTTTTGCATATGTTTTGCTTATCACAAGTAACAGTTTTTTTCCTGGTGTATGCATGTATTGGATGCTGCATCTGACCTACATTACTTTTCTGTGATGCAGAATCAGTAAGGTTTCAGCTTACTTCCAGGTTATAACTTGTGATAAACAGTGCAAAATTCATGATCTGGTGCATCATTGGATGCTTTTGCCTATGCAGTGTTTGAAATGTACCACATTTTGATTTCCCTCCAGGCATTTTGGGAGTATTAATCCTGTTTGGACAATTCTAATTTTATCCTAACTTTAATCAGTTTTACTTGTTCAATTTCAAAAGATAATTTTCTTAATCTTTTTTATTTATTTATTTTTTTTAAAAGAAGACTTGATCCAGTTGTGCTTGCTTTTAATATTATAATTTATTGCTTTTTTATTTTTATTTTCCACATTTAAAGGCAAATTACTTCTGTAGTTGCTAGTTAATTAACTATAACCTTTAATTTTTGTTCAAATTTTATTTTAATTGTATGTCTCCAGAAAAAGAAGTCTTGCTTTCATGCAAAAATATAATAATAAAAGAACTGTACGATTGCTTAATATAATTATTCCAAGAGTTCTTCGGAGCAAATTTCCTCTACTCTATATATTTTATATCTTGTGGTTTACACAGAGTCGATAGTTCTACCCAAACTGGTGTTTAAGAGGAAACTGTCGGGTGAGACCTTGTGCTGTGCCAGTGATTATAGGTTTATAATAATATTAGGACCAGAATTGTTCGTGACGTGCCAGCGTTTCCATATTTGTTTGAAAGCAATATTGTTCAAATGCAATGATCCTTGATCATTGGCAGTTGTTTGTCTTCCTTTTAACGATTTGCAAAGTGAATTAAAACTTTTTTTTAGATGTGAATATAGGCTATTTTCAGTATATATCTATAACGCTTGTTTATTTTCTCCACTTCACATTGAAATCACTCATTTTTTTTTTCTAAGTTTTCTATTTGAATTATTTCTAATGTAAATTGATGCCAGCTAGCTTGCAGGTTTTTGAAGCATGTGTAACATACAATAAATGTTTAGCATTTTCAAAGAATTTGCCTTAATATATAACTATTGAGGAAATTGTTTGATGTTTACAGAGGCTGTGCCGACAAAAATACAACTGATGATTACCCAAGACCATCAAGAGGAGAAGGCGTATGGGGGTCAGTTCCTCCCCCTCTCCCGGACCATCCGGGCACCATTCTACAGAAACAGCTCTGTACGGAAATGAGGAGTATGTGTGCTGAATCAGAGAGATTTCTGGTCTAAAGCTATGCAGTTACCCAAATATGATTTCTTCTCAGTGCTATATATGAATGGATTTATTCCATTCAGGTTTCTTCAGTGCAAGATTTATTTAAATTCATGAAAAGTGTGGCATGGGAGACTCAGATAATGTAGAGAATGAACCATATAACACCATGCCATTATATTAATATAAATATTCAGACCTACCTCTAGAAGTATAAACTGCTGATCCATTTCAACCAGGAGCTTGTATATAGATCTGTATGTATGAATGCGTTTGTCAAACTTTTAAGAGAGATTCATTTCTATTGTGCCAAATTGTGTAGATATATTTATTGAGATTGAGAGTTCATTTAGAGTTTAATTGTGTGCAGATTTTAGATTTGATCAGATATTACAAATACATATATCACCAGATACATGTAAAGTCAAAATGTGAAATATGTGTACAATGGAAGTAGATTTTGTGTAAGAAAGATTTACATCAAAGGAAAATGTATTTTTTTTAGCTACATATATAGATAGGATATAATTTACAGTACATGTGCTATTTACTAGAACAGGGTTATTTTTTTATATCAGCATATGTTTGCCTGACAAAAAAATGTGAAATATGTTTAAGTACATTTGTGCAAGAAAGATGTACATCAAACAAAAACCTTGAAGTTCTTTTTTTTTAATTTTTAGTTAACAACTATATAGGATACAATTTACAGTACTATTTACTAGAACAGGGTTATTTTTTAAATATCTGCATATGTTTGCCAGACAAAAAATGTCTCTGATTTTATTCTATAATATGTGCCAAGCTTTGTTGGGAATAACTGTATAATGATTTTTTACTGTTTAGGAAAACAGAGTACTAGTAATTTGTATTTTAAGGATATTACAGAGTATTGAACTTCAGCAACTATTTTAAATGAGTGTCCAATATGCTGATCACTTAAGTTTTGACTGTGCCTTTTTTTTAAGTCAGGCCATTTTTTGTTTTAAAATGTGAAAGTGAATGCATTGTTTATTAATGTAATTGGTATGAAAATTCAAGCTATAAATGATGTTAAAAATTTATCTTTTGGTTTTTTTGTTTGTCTGAGAGAGAGGGTGTATACTTGACAGTATTTGTTGGTTTTGTGAATTCTTCAAAGTCATTTAATATTATAAGCATTCTTATTTAAGTTTTAGGACCATTGCAAAATTTGCCACATTCAATTTTATTGGGGATAGTTAATCATTGTTAAATATTGGGAATAGTTAGTATAACAGGAAAGGAGAAAATTTTTGGCTGGATCAGGAATCGAACTAATCCAGGGCGATCTCCATGGCCCAAACTATTACATTACTCCCTCCTTAAATTGTCTTAGCCATGAGAGATGCACAACCCATATACATTAGCCCACCCTGGCAGGACTTTTACTTGCAAGTCCAGAGGTGGTCAATGGCACCAAATATAATGGGAAAGGAGAAATTTCATTGCTGGTCTGGGAATTGAGCCTGGGACCCCTGCATTGCTATTCTGGTGCTCTATAACCAAGCCATTCAAGCCTATATATCTGTAGTCCATATAGCCCAAACAACTAATTTATCATTTTCAGGCATTAGATACATGATTTATCAGTAATCTAATAATAGACAACGATATTAACTTTCAACAGGTTGGGACTAATTGCCTATATGGGATATAATAGCCGGTATGGGAAATAATATCCAAAATTGGATACATGTATAAATTTACAATGCAAAAAATCTGCATCAAGATACTTATAAAGGAATAACTTTTGGTTAACAAGTTTTTCTGTATGCCCACTGTTTAGGAGATTGATCCCTCAAAGTTCCTGAACTTCTTGGGTATCAATCTTGCCAACTGTTGAGTTGCAGAAAAACCTGCTTGCCAAAAGTTATTCCTTTTTAAGTATTTTGCAGATTTATGAAATCTATAGCCCAAATAAAAATTTTCATTTTTTGCACTGTAAATTTATATCCCATTTGGGATGTTATATCCCAAATGGGTTATTATATCCCATTTGGGCAATTGGTCCCAACTTGTTCAAGATCAAACTTCTTTCCAAAATAATTTCAGGTTAAAAGGGATAGAGAAATGATCGATGCTCTGACATACATACAGTATAGAAGATTCTTATGATGGAGATATGTTGGAGCAAACATTCAAATCATCCACTTAATGTGATGCAAAGTGGCCGGCTTATATGTGCAGACATCAAAATACTTTAAAATATTTTAATCTTTGCAATAGGATCAGTTTGAAGTGCAAGTCAGAAGGTTGAATGAAGAGAGATAGGGGGTGAGATGGTGAAAATTATTATTGTTTCTGAGGAGTCTTCATATCAATATGTGTCAAGCTTGATCCAAAAGTTGGAAAATACAGTCAAATCTCAATTATCTCAAACTCGATGGGACCGAGAAAAAAGTTTGAGATATTTGAGGATTTAAGATATCAAGGTTAAAATATTTAGGGTTTGAGACTTCCAAATTATTTATAAAAATTAGGGATGTCAATTTTGTCAATAATTCATATTCGAATATTCAATGAAAGTATTCGAATATATTCGAATATTCGATAAAATAAATGAAATCTGGTTTATTTTAAATATGCATGATCCTACTCTCATAAAAGGTTTAGCATAGGTATTCTAATATTGGAGTAAAATTGTGTGAAGGCTTTTGTAGTTGTACAATAAGAAATTCCATTTGATATTTGTCAATGTGTGAAATAAATAATTGATTTAAATGTAGAAAAATATGATTTTAACAAATTTAATAATTTAATAAATTAATAGTAGCTCCAACTGAGGAACCAATCGTCTTACCAAAGGCAGAATAGTCGTATACTGTTTAGATTTCAATACGTGTAATTAATTACAATTATCAGTCTAATAAGAGATGTGATTAAATATTGGGTAAAATATTTTTAAAATATAAACAAATATTTCCATAGACAATTTTCCTAGGTAATTAATTAATTTACCGATAATGAATATAAAATTCAGGATTATGTACAACCCGAGATAATCAAGTAATTTACACATTTATTCAGAAATTAAGCCCTTTACAATATCAGTTACAGACTAATTCTATCAGACACTCATTCAACGATCAATTAAATTTATTTTGATCAGTATACTCTTCACGTCTTTTAGACATTCCAAGAAGGTTTTCATTTAATCAAAATTTATTAAACACTATTTCTTTTTACGAAATCTGTAAAACACCGAATATTCGAATCTTAAATTTATATTCGAATATCATCTCATCGAATGAATATTCAAATGTTCGAATATTCTTTGACATCCCTAATAAAAATCCATGGTATATTGAGATAATGGTGTTCAGATACCAAAGTTCAACTGTAGTTGTTTTGTAAATGCAAGTACCAGGTAATGTCTATGTCTTGGTGTGTATTATGGACATTGGAGCATTTAATAATTCTTGCATAAGCTTATATTGCACATTTCCAGCAGGAACTAATGAAATGCAATAACTTAATTCAGTTCTGTATCTTTCAAGAAGACATTTTTGTACATAGTAACCCAAATCTCTGAATATAATTATGTCAGGTTTTGTGATTTTAAACTGCCATTCCCATGCAATTAATGGAATATAAAGTACATGTACATTGAGGAAAGACAAAAATAAATCAGAGTTCATCAAAGGTGAAGGTTAGAGGGGATATAGGAAAGATGGGAGATTGATACATGTAAAGTGTTGCTTATCTTTGTTGTTTGCTTTTAAGGCAAACCAAAAAGTTTTTACAAACTGACACAAAATCTAGTGCACAATGGTCAATAATTTATTAAGATCATAAATAACAGATCATTTATTAAGTAGAAAACATTTGTTCAAGTGCAATGAAAAAAAAAACATTATAAATATCACATAAGCTCAGCACTAAGTCACAACCCTATTACCGGGAACAAGGATAACATTTGGAAGAGGAATGTCGATACTGCCTTTTATAAGAATATATAGGGAATGTCTGATAAAAAATTAATGATTTCAATTCTCCAAGAATATAAAGAATATGTCTGTTAATAACTGCTTCATCTTCTGAAACCCATGGTACCTCCGGGGGTAAGAGAAGCGAGACTGACTGGGCTCCAACGCTAACAGCTCCCACTTAACAACAATGCAGGTGACAATGAATATATATTAAACTTTTCAACTCTGGAGTTTTTTCTGATGAAGACTGTTATCATGGGAAATAATTTTTTCTTTCCTAAAAAGTATGTATACAAAACAAGAAATTGTGGAATGCTTTAAACAATAAAACACTTGCAAAACATAATGCTATAAAATAGGGATATTTCTCAAAACATAATGAAGAGACCAATCAAATTTCAAAACAGGAATGTGTATCCAACCTTTCAGTATACTTGCAGAAAAAAAATATCAAAGCATTTGAAAAAGAGGTGCTTGTAGAAGTACTTGTAGGCTTATAAGCCTAAACAAACCACAACTTGTGACATGCTTTTTGTCATATAAAAAAATAATTCCAGAGAATTGCTCATTGTTTTGTATGGGAACACATAGAATTAATTAAATAATTAAAAATAAACATTAATATCAGTCTACAAGTATAACTTTGATTAAACTACAACCAAATAAAATTTATAAACCTACCATAACCAATCAAAATAAACTAAATAAATGCAGTTTTATTATAATTATCAATATATATAAGAGATCCTTTCAACAGATCTAACAATGAGTTCTTATACATCACTCAACTATGCAAATTATTGTAAAAATATAAATGCATGATTTTCAACCAGAACTTGCAAAATATTTATAGCCCTATCATTTAAATCACCAGCAGCTCTTCTTAGTATCTAAAATATTTCAAGAGCACTCCTTTTAAAAAAAATATTAAATATATCTCAACCAAATGTAGAGGAAATCCTTTTACATTCAATTACTTATCACTACATGTAGTATAAAAATCTAAATGTGCCTCCAGTTTAGTAACAAATCACAGTTATGTCCCTTTGACAGGTAATTGTGGGACAAAAAATAACCATCCATTTTTCTTTCTATACTGAATACTAGGCAAACTCTCATGGAACTCAGTGATGAAATCACCTAGCTATGCTATATCCGCCATCCCCCCTGAGGAGTTTCTGGTCCACCCCCCTGATTTCACTGTCACAACAGTGGGGTGAACAATATTCTGGAGTTCATTCCTCACAGCTGTTATTGTATTTTCTGGGGTCTCCCCAGGATGAATTTCTTTTGATACAACATCAGTCATATCTTCCCCTTCTGGGGTGCGTTTAAAGGGTTTTTGATGTTGGATTGGTGGTTTTCGGGTCAGGTCACCATTGGCAGACTTGACCCTTCCTGACCCACTTTGACTAACATAACTGGATTTCAGTCTGTCTGTGGCTGATTCTTCAGTAGAACCAAAACCATTATGCTGATAAGGTTTGGGGTCTGTTGAGTGTTTTGAAGAGGGTTTGTCTTTGCTCAGACTCCTTAGAATGATTGGTTTGGGGGGCTCTGTAGTGTAGGAGGTATTTGGCACAGGTTCTGGGAGATTTACAGCGGGTCGCTTTGAGTGATGACCCTTTCTCTCCACCTCATCCTCAGGAACCTGTAAAATTTGGAGAGAGTTAAAATCAAATTTTCTTCTTAGTCATCATCATCTTCTTCAACTTTTTTGCAGTGTATAAAATTCATATACATATATATAGTTATATGTTTTATGAAATTCGGTTTTGTTTTAACTTCTGCTTTTATTACATAACAAGTATACAAATTAAAACTAAATTTTGACAGGTTGGACTCTTTATTTCTATGGGGAGAGAAAAAAAATTCGACAACAAATTTAAAATGAAATGCATGCAAATAATCAAGTGAATTGGACTAGGTCCATCAACCAGATTCATTGGCCATCTTGGAAAAAAAAATAAATGTACTGAAAAAAATAATAAAACTGGAACTCTTTATACTGTGGAAATTGTATCCATGCACTTTGATTGTGAGGAACAAGAATTATGAACTGCGTGATTCAAGAGTGGAATACAAGACTGGAACTCACTTCCTTTGTTGAACCCCTCCTCATGGGTTTTACCAACTGTATATTGCAGTAAAAGACATTTTAATATCAGACTATTATCTTACTTAATGGTGAAAGAAATATTGGGCTTAATATTATCAGCTTTACCGAGTTTTATTGAGCATAGGATAACTATTTCTAAAATGAGCATTTATTCTAACTCGTTGATTACAGTCAAACTTTGTTATATCAAACACAATGGGGCTAAGAAAAGAACCCCTTAAAAATATCCAAGGATTCAAGATACTGAGATTAAAATACATAAAGAAAAAGTGGCTGTGACTTCCATTTCACCTTGACATATCCATAGAATTTAACCTGCAGCTATCAATGCTCGAGATATCAAAGTTCAACTGTACTAAGTTGCTTGACCCAATCTTAATCTATTTATGATTCAGAAGTCCTCTACCAAATACTCTATTGGTTTACTTTGATTTTTTTAAAATAAATTAACGTTTTTCTTTCTATATTGAATAAGGTTGAACTTCGGTATCTCGAACACAGATATCTCGAATACATTGGATATGTCGAAGTGATTGGACAGTCCAAGCCCTTTTTCTTTAAGTATTTTACCCTCAATATCTCAAACCCATGGATATCTTGAAGTTTTTTCTTGGTCCCATCGAGTTGAGATAACAAGGTTTGACTGTACTTTCTGTTTACTTGTTTAAACATCCATAACGACACAGAAAATAACCTACCACAGTTTTTGGCATGGAGATTAAAGTCACCTCATCCGCTGCCCTGTACGGACTCCACGTGGTTAGACCCTCCCTCCGGGAACCATGGTAACTGGGATTTACTATCATAGGTTCATGTTTCTTTTCTGCATCAGCATATAAATAATACAAAGCGAAAGCATGGAGTAAATTAAATATTGAGAATATTTTTTAAACAAAATACATTTATTTTCAAAAATTTACATACCTGGCTTCTCCTCCTCTTGGTTTTTCCTGAAAGAAAAAAAATGGAGGAACTATGAAAACATGCCAACATTTTTGCAAGAACGTGAACTACTGTGTAGTCCTACAATACATATACTCAGGACAAGTATGTAAATAATTACCCAGTGGGTGAAGTTGTAATCTCCTCCTCTGGAAAAACCTTATTTCTGCTCAGAAGAACAGTTCAGGACATAAGAAAGCAGGAAATCAACTGACAACTTGCACATTTAATATAGCTTTGCATAAGTTTTTTATAACAAAGTTTTTTTTCCCTCTATCTTGAATTTTGAATGAAGAACTCTTCTATTTATTTTTGGTTTTACAATAAAAGAACATGCAAACAGAAACTTTGTGTGTTCCTAAATTGGGTGTGTGGATAAATGTTATGCCTCATCTTAATACAGCAAAAGCAAGAGTGGGTGCATACAACTTGTATACAACTGTAGAGGATGAAACAACACTGAATTTTACAATATACAGTAAAACTTGGATATACAGAAGTCACTGGGACTTTGAATTTTGCTTCCTTATAACTGAGGTCCTTTATGTTTGTATAAGGAACATAATGAAACATTTTCTACGGGATTTGTAAAATGTTCCTTGAAACCAAGATTTCCTTATAAGGAAGTTCTGTATAACAGAGTTTTACTGTATAAACATGCAATCAAATAAATTATCTATCTATATTTACATTATTGTAACACTTGCACATGTAGAAATATAATATGCCAAAGAGCTAAAATTTGCAATATCCAATTCCTTACCAAAATATAACTGTGCAAGCAATATGTGACATTATTATCAGATGATACTGCTATAATGTCAATATTTTGGTAAAACTTAAATTTCCAATTCATGCTGTGTGACTGAAATTCATTGTTTCAGAAAAACAAAAATATTAACAGATTTTTTTTCTCCCTAGTATAAATAAGGGATATTTGTGTGATTTATTTAGGTGTGCATTCACTACATCAAGATACCTCTCTTTGAATAGGGACACGGGGGATTTACTCCTGGGGCTAGTAGAGGGGGAGGGGCCCTCGCTCTGAGACATAGTACTTTGTTTGGGTGACAGAGCTCTTCTATCACCAAGCAAACTTAATTTATCTTCAGAATTTTCTGAAGAAGATCTACAGGAAACAAAGAGAAAATCTTGGTAGGTATCCAAAAATAATTAAACCATGCAAATCATTCTCATGACTTTTCTTGTTGTCAGAATGATCTTTTACTTGCATATTCTTATGCTGCAGATACAATCAAATACATATTTTCTTTGAATGTCACAACCTATAGTCAGAATTTCCATTCTCAAACCTGGTAAAGGGACAACAATCACTTTCACCGTTTTATCAATAGATTTCAAAATTATTTTTCATAATTCTTTCAAAAAAAATCTTTTTAACCAGGACAAGTAATTTATTGATACATACTCATCAAGTTGAGGAGAAATTAGGGAAAATGCATCATCCAACAGTTTGTGCATCCTCTTCTTGGCGTCTGAGAGATTCTCAGCTTCAAAGCCTTCGTTCTGAACAAAACAAAACATTACACATAAGTGGAAATTTTAGCGAGACACAAATTAAGCAATTTGTCCTTAAAAATTGGTATTTTATTTATAGCGAGAAGTAATTTTAGCAATTTTAAAATGCTCACTAAAGAAGCTATTACAAATAAAACACAATTAATTTTTAGCGATATTCAATTTTAGCGATCTCAGCATTCTCACTAAATATTCTGCTTTACGGTGTCAAATGGAATACAGTAATAAGTCTTATTTTTAATCTTTTGATATATGTCTACTTTTTTACAAACTGAAGCAGGGATCAATAAGAAATTGTCCATTTTTTTTTTTACCTTTTCCCCTTCTGCCTTTTTCCTTCTTCTCTTTTTGGAACTAAAAACGGAAAAATAAAAAATAAGTGTTTCATGACAGGAAAAATAGGTAATGATCAAGATATTTTGAATAATCAAGAGATATGTAAAAAATTTCAATCATTTTATAGAGTTTTTAACATTTTTAAAGTCTGATTTTTTTTTCTCCAAATGCAGATGTTAAGTAGAACATGGATTGACTATATATAATTTTAAGTTTTTATGCACAGAAGGTATCCAGAAATATAATAAAAGTACAGATATCTTTCAAAAGTAGACAATGATTTTACTATATTCTTCAAAAATAAAATTAATCTAAAATAATGACTGAATTAATAACTGGCATTTGCAAAGTAAAATTAGTTACCATAGTACAGACTTTGTACAGTGTACATAGTTACCACAATTTGTACAGTGTACATAGTTACCACAATTTGTACAGTGTACATAGTTACCCTTTAGATGAGGTTCTGAAGACCTCGGGCACCTCCCCCTCTGGAAGAGGGGCATCTAACACATTGTCTAACTCCTCTTGAACAGCAAGGTACTCCTTCATCATGTTTTCAGTGTCTGAAATCAATTCAACTTTTTACATTTAAATCATTCAAGTATTACACATTTTAAAAACAATATAATGTATAAGAAAATAAACAAGGTACTATAATTTTTTACTAGTATTAAAATCAGTACCTTCCTTTTTCTGTCCCTCTCTCCTTCTTTTCTCTCTCAATCTTTTCTTATTTTTCCTTCTCTCTTCTGCTACCTTCCTCTGGTATTCTGTTTCATCCTAAAATAAATCAAAACTCATCATTAATTTATGGCTCCAAGGATTGTTTACTCCTTCTTCTATAAAACAGGAGTAAACAGGAAAACACAACCCATCCCCCCCCCCTCCCCCCCCCCAATACCTAAACATACTGAATCAATATTTTTCAATTTAAAAAAAATCTTGTCTAATCCATATATGATAGATAAGGATTTTTTTGGATAGCAGTGCTCTTTTGGATATTTTTACAGCCATTAGTTAATTTGTGAATGGCACAAGTTTATAGAAAGACTTAAAATATACCTCCAAAGACATTGGCTTATATTCTCTGGATGGCTGAGGTGGGGCTGACGAACCTAAGTGAGTTTCCCTCTCAATATTATCAAAATCCTCTGCAAAATCAATACAAAATAGTATATATATAAGTATAAGTATAGTATATAATAGTGAAATAAAGAACCAAACAACCATATTGTATAAAGATCTTGTAGTAAACTATTTCAAATAGGTAAGTTATTTATAAAAGAGGACTAGTTTGAATTCAACTACTGTATTTGGCCGAATATAATACGCATTGGTGTAAAATACGCACCCCCCTTTTTGAGCCTGAAACTGGGGAAAAAAACGCAGTTCGGTTGTATTATACGCAGCAGAAAATTTTACCAAGCAGTGTTTTGAACTTTTGAAAATCGCGGTAATTTTCTATGAAAATCGGCGCGGAGATAAAGTGCCGAAAATTTACAGAACACGATATTTTATTCAAATGCGTTTTTTATTTCTTAATCTTGACTTTCCATATCGCGGCAATCTGGAGTAAATTATTTATTTTAGCAGAGCACGAGATAATGTTGCATTAAAGTATTAACAGAGTTTATTATTAATTTTTTTTAAGCATACGGTGATATTGAAATTATACGTCGCCGTATCCTAACTATTCTTTGTGGAAATAATTTTATTTCAACAAAGCACGAGGTATTGTTGCAAGTTTAACAGTTGTCATATTTATTTTTAGTTTAAAGTAATCATGTAAAATTAACAGGGCAAGCGATATTGCAACATCAAAGTATTCATAAACTACGATTTTCCTCTTTTGAACTTGAAATTAGTTAATTAAATAAATAGCTGATGTTATCAAAATAAAATCAAAATTTAACAAGCGTGTAAAGTGTAGTTATCAACACACCTCCAAAGCTGTGAAAAATGATGTACAAAGATGGGATATATGTCTTCATACATCGAGGTAATCTTCGTGGATGCTTTATTTTCTACAAAGCACGTGTGTTAACACTTAAGTTTCAACATACTTCATATTTCCTTTTTTAACTCTCAATCATTTTAACACGAGGCCGATATAAGATAAAGTATAAAATTACATTTAACAAGCTTTTAACTGTTTAATGTGTCGTAATCAACACACGCTTATACATACGAAAGATCATAAACCAACCCCTGATTTTTAACAAAGAAAATAATCACAGCCATTAATAAGGGCAGTAAATGATCAGTGCTCTAACTGTAAAAACAATGCTTTGGAGTCGGTAAACAATTTAATTGCCTGGAGGGGTGTTGAGGGGTAATTATCAAGTGACAAGCGCACGTGTTCACAACATTGGCTTCCATTCATTGGGACGTATAGAGGGATGTTTATGTTGAAATGAATTTTCTCTGAGTTATTTAAAACCTAAAATAAATTTTATTTTAATGTATTTCATTAAAAAAATGTCTTATTACTTTTTTGACCAAGTGCCCGACTGATTAGGTACATGTGTACTATGATTACTGAAGCACGTGGCAAAGGAATGTGTCAACTTCTATAAATAACATCGTTAATGGCGGCCTACACGGAGACGATGAACATGCAGCTCAAATTAATTTTAACTTGCTTTTAAATTTAATTAAACTATCAAAAGGTTATAAATATAACATTTTTAACAAGCCTACATTCCAACAATAACTTTCCGAAGTTTTAAATACGGCGATAAACAGCAAGAAATTGCATAAGTCTCGAGGTAATACTACGGTATGTGGGTATGATAGCCGTGTTTCACATGAAAGAAAAACCTATCAAAATCCCATTGTGGTGTAAAATACGCACCCCTTTCTCACAGAAAATTATTTTGGGAAAAAAGTGCGTATTATATTCAGCCAAATACGGTATCCGTACCTGAAGGGGGTTTCCTCTTCTTCTTTCGCTTGCCCCTTTTACTCGGTGATGGTATCAACCCCGTGTCATCCGATGCCAAGGTAGCAGATTCACCAGCCGTAGAATCTTCTCTTGCTGGCTTTTTGCTGATCAAAAGTAATAATTTATAAATAAAAATTTAATTCACTGGATTATGGAGAGAATATGAGTCTCAATAACAAGGTTTTTTTAATATGCAAGACCGGTAAACTTACCCTGGCTTTTTAACAGTGGCATAGGTTGGGTCCTCCATATCTTCACCCTTGGTGACCTCATAAGATTGCCTCTTTTTCACATTCTGTGTTGAGGTGCTAGGTGACTGAACCATCTCTACTGACTCATCATCCTTAACGTGAATTAAATAATACTAAACTTTAATTAACTGAAGACGCATATACAACATTGATCTTAATTTTGTTTAATCCTAAGGGAATCATCCATATTCTACATGAATACTGAGTATAAGATAATACCTTTGTTCCACCTTTCATCTTTAGAAGTTGGGCTGGCTCTCCTTCTTTTAAACTCTCTGGACCTCTCTTTTTGATGATGAAGCAGAAAATCACCCAAATGACTATGATGACAAGTACAACTGCACTGACAGCCACACCCACCACCCACAGATTATTGGCCTCCTCTGGAGCAGCACCCCCACTATTCCTTCCATAATAAGCTGCAAATGAGAGGTGGAATGTAAAGCAAAATAAAGCGTTCTTTAAAGAAGCTCTAAACACCAATGAGAAATGTTTTTGGACTTTAAAAAAATGTATCATAAAGATGTACATAAATTTATTAAGTTTCTTTATTCAACATAGGGTACCTGCCATATGTTATTTCAAATTGTGCCATTTACTCACTCACTCATGGTAGTATTCCATTTTACATCAAAGGGCAGATCACTCTAAGAGCATAAAACTACCATGGAAATAGACCTCTTCAGTGAACAGTGTTTAGAGCTTCCTTATTTTAATCAAGTTTACATTATTACTTCTGCTGATCAGGTCTGAAAGACTAAGAGAAAACTAGTTCTTGTGATGAAAAGTTTTTTGATGATGTCTAATTCCTTCAGTGACAATTTTGTACTGACCTTGACCACTATGTATAACTTGAACTGACACAACTTGATCTCAACTTGAACAATATTAAGTTAATATCCCACAGGAATTAAAAGTAATACCTGAGGTTAAAGTTGGTGAAAAACAAAAATAAATGAAGAGATCAAAAAGACCATCCCCAAAAACCAGTATGATCTAAATCAAACTTACTACTGGCTTTTTCTGCAACAACATATCCTAACTTAAGAGCCATTTCCTGGTCACTAAGCAATCCAAGTGTCCTAACAGCTTCTTCTGAACGAACTTGGGTTCCATTTTTGGTAATCGTGTAAACAAAGGTCACATTTCCTGTTCCCTGTGTCCTGGTAGCATTTGCTATCTGTTAAAGTGAAGCATAAAAAAAATTATTTACATGAGTGAGAGATGATTCACATTGACAAGTTAATTAAGATAACCATGGTTATTCTGGTTTTTTTTTAATTCTTAAAAAAAAATCTGGATCCAGAATTTTATAGTTTTTGTGATATTTCTTTTAAAGAATTCATCAGAATTGCTTAAGATTTATCAACAGAGGACAATTATAAATTAATGGTGTTTGAGCAGAATAAATCTGATTTCATTTTAACTTTATCCAACTTATTGAAAAGTGTGTATGTATTCACTTGACTTGACACACAAATATATTCACCATTTCAACTTGATGGATAAAACTAACATAAAATAACATTTTATAGATACTAGTATCATCTGTGTATGGACAACTTACTTCTACAACAGTGTCTTGGACTTGTGCTGCACGCTTTCGACGAAGCGGTTGATACGTGCCCTCTGCAATCTGTTTTTGTCTCTCAAATGCTTTCAAATAGGCAGTTGCAATTTTAACCTCCATGGATAAAATGAAAGTTTTGTTGGTAATATCCTCTGTCATAGGGATCTTCAAGACTGTAATATCACAAGATTATGAAACAACATACCTTCTGGTATCTAGATACATGTAGTTCAGTAAAATTCAGTTTGTATTTTATCCACTAAAGATTTCAAGCATACCTGTAACAACCCAGAAGGTCCTGACATTAACTGTTGTTGTTGGGCTTGGTGTTGTTGGTGTTGTTGTTGTTGTTGTTGTTGTGGTAGAGGGAACCTCTGTTGTGGTTGAACCCTCAGTTATATTACCTGTGACCACTGATGAAGAGACTGTTACAGTTGACGATGGAAGCTCTGAAGAAGTCATATTCATCTGCATCTCTGTAGAGCTTGGGATAAGGGTAGTGGTGATGTTAATTGTTGCTGATACAGTGGAGACCATATCTGTTGTTGATACTGTACTGTTGACACTTGATACCAGCTGAGATGCCTCCATCACTAGAGTAGACACCCCTGATATACTAGTCTGGACACTTGATGCGTCTGGTATTTGACTTGTCGATGCAGGTGATGGTGTAACACTTTGGCCTGGTGTAGGGGTACTTGATATTGTTGATGTTACAAGGCTTGTTACACTGGGTGAAGATGGAGTGGGACTAATGTCTGGAGTTGCAGATACCGTTGTTGTGAGAGATACCTCTGGTGTTGATGAAATTGAAACTGCTGCCTGGCTGGAATTTAGCACATTAACTGAAGAGGTTGTTATTACAGAAGATGTATGCGGAGTTGATACAGTTGACAATGCTGCCTGAATAGTACTTGATGTCACTTCCACTGAGCTAACTGGAGTTACTGTTACCAAAGGAGGTGAAGAAAATAATGAAGTCAGAAAGGTGTCTGGAACAGTTGGCAAAGTGCTTTGAAGAGATGTTGACTCAATCTGGGTGGTACTTTGAAGAGATGAAGAAGCAACCTGGGTGATGCTTGGAATAGTTGAAGAAACAACTTCGGTATTGCTTGGAATAGTTGAAGACACAACAAAGGTCATGCTTTGAACACCTGTTGTCACTGCTGCAAAAGTTGATGACACTGAAGAAAAGAAATTTGAAGTTTGAGAGCTGACCATTGTGTTTTGTGGTGAACTTTGTGCTGTGTAGAGTGAAGATAAATCTGGAACCAGTTGTGAAGACTGATCCATAACCAAGCTAGATAAATTTGGTGACACTCCCGCTGTGCTCTCTGACACCATATTTGTGCTAGATGTGCTCAAAATTCCCGTGCTAGATAATAATTCACTCATAACACCTGATGACATCTGACTACTTGATGTTGGTACAGCTATTGTAGAGTTTGTTAGTACTTCAGATATAATCAGTATTGTGGACATGCTATCACTATTCAGAATGGATGAATTGATCATGCTGGTGATTACTGGACTACTTGCCAGGGAGCTTGGCATACTGGGAGTAACTGTCTCTATATTAGTAATTGTTGGACTATAAGTGCTATTGTAAATTAGTTCTGTTGATATAGTTGACACTATAGGGTGCACAGTACTTGAATTTGATATATCAATTGTTGAATAAGAACTTGAAAGATCCGGTGCTATAGTGGATGTGAAAAGTCCACCTGTAACTTGTTCCGTATAGTTGCTCCATACTGCAGTTGATGACACATTGATCTCTGGTATAGAGGATGTTGACAGGAAGAATTCACTCGAAAACTCAGTGCTTGAGCTGGAAGTCTTTATTTCCACAGAAGGCTGTAAAGATCCATTTAAGAAAGGCATCATTGTTGATTGTCCACTGCTCAATATGAATGAAGTTGAAACAACCCCACTGCTTACATTTTCTGATGAAGATATAGAAACAGAGTGTTCAATCATTGATGAGGCTGTACTGGACATCAAAACTGTGGATCCATTTCCAAAATCTGTTGACACATACAAAGAAGACATTCCTAGCAAACTAGCTGTCAATGCACTACTCATGATAAATGATGTTGGTGAAATGGTTGTTTCTGACATATTTCTTGTAGAAACCATCACTGTAAATGAAGTGGCTATTTCTGTTTTTGACAAATTAGACAAAACTGAAGAACTTTCCAAAATTCCAGTCACCATGGATTCTGTTTGGAAAACAGTTAAAGCTGGGAATGAAGACATACTCATTGTTGCCTGCTGTGTTGTTTGTTCAACCATGGATACATTTACAGAACTGCTTGGCTCAATTGTTTGTGATATGGTTGCAAAAATTGGCTCAGATGAAATGGCAGAAAGCACAGGTGTTGATAAGTTTGACATCATTGAAGGTAGCAGCTCACTGGTTCCCAAATTGCTTGTTGTAACAGCAGTAACAGAAGTGTTTGGTATCAAAGTCGAAGGTGCAGAAGACAGTTCTACTGTTGAAGATACATTGTTTGTTGTAGTGGTAAATTCACTGGAAGGTGTCACTGTTATTTGGACTGTTTCACTAGAGGTGTTGAGTAGAGGAGTTGTTACTAAAGAAACGTCAGTAGATGTGGCTATAAAACTGCTGGCTGTTTGTGGTGTTGTCAGCATTGAACTTTCAAATGATGTTGGACTGTGTGTTGTTACCACTGTACTGACCAATGAATGGGATATGGATGGAACTGAAGAAACATTTGCTGTCAAACTTGACTGAAAATCAGAATTCACCTGAGATGTATATAAGTATGTTGTTAACATCTCCATGGCACTGAAGACACTGGTACTCATCTTCAGTGTAGATGACGATAGTGTTGAATTTACATTTTCTGTGGAACCAAGAGCACTTGAAGGATTTTCTGAGATCATTTGTGAAGTAGAAAACACAGCTGTTGGAGTTAAATTTTGTATAGAACTAACAGTACTTGAAAGGGTTTCTGAGCTTATTTGTGTAGTAGAAAACACCATTGTTGATGTCAAATTCTCAGTAGAACCAATAGTACTCGAAGGAATTTCAGAGCTCACTTGTAAGCTGGAAAATACGGCTGTAGAAGATGGTGTTAAAGTTGTATTCTCTGTAGGACCAACAGTACTTGAAGGGGTTCCAGAGCTCACATGTTTGGTAGAAATAACCATTGTTGAAGATGTTAATACTTCTGTGTTTGAAGAGGCTGAAATGAGTGATAAAGTTTCAGAAATATCTAGAGATGATAACATGCTGCTGGATACCGTTGTTGTGGATACTGCTGAAGTCAGCAAAATATCACTTGATGGTGTTAACAGTCCGCCAGCTGAGAAATTTTGTGCTGTTTGCAATGTAGTTGTGGGAGATCCAGTTAAGGAAAAGGAGCTTAGCAATGCAGATGTTGTCATAGTAACTTTTATTTCAGTGTTTTCTATCGAAGGCTGAATTGATGAGCTTTCAAAGGATGAAACTAGTTCTACTGACTCACTAGCAGAACCTATTGAGGATAAACTTGGTGTTGAGTTAATCACATCACTTCTACTAGCACTAATCAATTCACTCAAACTAGTAACTAACTGATTTGATGTTGACACAGCACCCAAATCACTAGAAATACTGTTAATAATGTTAGATGAATGTAAACTGATTGAACTCGTAAAGGTTGTTAGAGATGATGTTGATGATTCTGGAGTTATATCAATGGATGAAGATAAGAAACTAAAACTGTCTATACTGGTTATCAGGGTATTCACACTTTCTGGGGTTGTTAGAGATGATGATAAAATCACAGATGTAGATTCAACACTTGTGTCACTGTATTTTGATGATGCAGTCACTGAAACAGATATTGAGGAAGAGCTGGTGATTCCTTGAGAACTTGTTAATACTGATTCAGAAGATGTTGTCACTGAGGATGGTAGCACCACAACAGAACTCAGAATGTTTGTTACTGAAGCAGCTGTAGATGGAACAGTTGTTGACAAAGGTACAGATTCCTGTGATGATACTGGGCTCTGTGACACTGAATTGGAACTATCAGTTACAGTAGTTGTTGATGAAACTGTAAATTCTGATGAGGATGATGTCTGTGAAGTTACAGTTGAGACTCCAGACACTGATGCTGAAGATATGACTGTTGGGATCAAGCTCTGTGTCAAGACTGATGTTGTTGATTCTGATGTCATGGATGACTGGGAATCTGCAATAGTGTTACTTTCAGTGACTGATGGTGTTAATATGAAAGATGAAGCCAGAGTTGTTACTGCTGATGGTGATGTATTTGATGAGGACAAAGTTGTTACTTGTGGTGTATCTAAAGTTTGCAACTGTGTAACAGCTGTTAGTGAACCTACAGCAATGCCAGTGGATGTAGCTGTTGGAAGCATGGACCATACTGAGGAAACTGATCCTTGACTAGATATCTCACTGCTAGTTGGTGACTGACTGGAAGATAACTGCTGACTTGTTTCTTCTCTGGATGAAGCCAGGCTACTTGTGCTCGGCTGTACTTGGACTGTTGATATCGCAGAAGACATCATTAAAGACTCTTGCTGACTTGTGACTCTAGTTGTTTGAATATGGCTGGATGTGATAACTTGTTGTGACAGACTTGTAGTTGATTCTGAAGTTTGCTCTGTATGTGATGTTTGAGGGAATGGAGATTGTATGGAATGAGATGAGTAGCTTGATGAGGGTTCAAAAGATGATGTACTTGAAGTTGTTACAACAGAGCTAGTCATAATATCTGTATTTGTTAATACTGTATTTACCAAACTAGTTGCTGATGATGAAACTAATTCACTACTTTGCAAAGGTATTGAAGTCACTAAAATTGTTTCCGTTGCTGAATCTGTTACTATACTAGTCTCAGAGGTTACTTTGCTAGTTTCTGGTGCTATAGAAGTCACTCTGTTAGTTTCTGATGCTATTGTAGACACTACATTAGTCTCTGATATTGTAGTAGTTGCTATGTTAGTTTCCATGGTTACACTTCCTGTTGTGGATGAGGTTAGTAGCACACTGTCACCTACACCAAGAGAAATGAGGGTTACTAAGCCACTGCAAACTCACAGCAAATCACACACTAATTGACTAAAGCATCTTCAAACTAACAATACATAGAACTGTGATACAATATTCTTACAAATTTGAATTGAAATATGTTCAAAACATATCAAAATTGCTAAATAGGAGTATTTAAATAATGGAAATTAATTTCTTCCTCAATTTCTGGAAAAAAAAATTATCAACCAAATTGCAAATTTTATATGGAGATAATCTTGATTGTCAATCCTGAGAAAGTCATGCTACTTCTTACAATTGATATTACCTTACTGCAATATTGACAGATATATTTGAGCACTTATGGAACCCTTTGAAGTGGTATGTCAAGCCTTATTCGAGTGGTTAAGCAATGTAACATTGTGGTACAATGTAAAGTCCCAAGGTTTTAAGGTACATGTTGACCTATATAAAATATTCCTCGGGTATCCACTGGCAAATTAGATAATTACATGTATTCCAAGCTTTCACTAATTAGAAAGCAGGGCCATCACTAGGTTCCTGGAAAGGGGAGCGCAGTGAGAGTCTTTGAGGGCCCTCCTCCCAAATGTCAGAATTTTTTTCATCATTAAATGGATACAATTTTTTATGAGTTCTGGTGCATTCTGGATGTTTCTTTTAATATTAAATAAACAAAACCTCTCAACATTACTTTAGACAGAAGAAAAATGAATTCATTTTGTTTCAAATATGATTCCCACCCCCACTCCCCAAAAAGCAGAAGCAATCGCACCCAATGCACTCTTCCACTCCTAACAGCCTTTATAAGTGTTAGATTTGGGGGGGGGGGGGGAATAAAGTCATGTACGCAACTCTATAAATTTCATATTGCAAATATGGTCCAATCCAGACATTGAAATGTCTATGAACATTTTCATTATTTAGCTCAAAAACCCAAACAAATTATAGCTTTCATATTAAGCAATATTACTTTGGTTGCTATTCTACTATAATCATGTGGATGCCAGGAAATTATATGAAATTGTTCCGCAGGATGCCCAACTGGTTATTTGCATCTAACTGGAAATAACAATAACTCATGCAAATATCATCTAAATAAATGCCCGGTTTTCAGAATGTTATATATACAGTATGTTCACAACTTTAACTTCTTCAAGTCTAGTTCTTGTCATTAAGTATGCAGCTGATATTGATTGGAAATGATGAAAAAGGAGACTTTATTGTGCAGAGGGGAACCTCTGCACATAAAATGGACAGTGATGAACTTTTCCAAGTCCCTTGAATATTCTGTGAAAGTTATAAATCTCCCCCAGATTTGTGCAACTGAACAACAAAAATCGATACAGATATGCCGCATAATTGAATAAAACTTCTCTACCAACTGCAAAGAATTTGTCAAAAAATGACCTGGATTTTGCAAGAAAACATAAATTCTGCAATATTGATCCCAGTACTCCATTTTATGCACTTGCAATTTGTCTAGCTGTCAATTCTGTTTGCCTTCAGAGAAAATTTGTCAAATTGTGCCCAAGTTTCAATTTCCTATTTCAAAGTTACATTAATCAATTGATGTAGATCAACTTAGTTAATATCAATTAGTGTTAGTAAATTAAGTTCAATTTATGATAATGAATAACTAAAATATTTCTCTCAAAATTCTTTCATACACACAGACTCATATGCTAGTAAGTATACTTGTGCAATAACTTAACACTTCTCTGTTTAATGGAATAAATGCCACACGTACTAACAAGAATTTTGAGTTCTTTACAACATGCTGCAGAGCATACTAATATACAGGTACATGTACATGCAGTGAAACTTGTCTAATCTGGATGTTATGTAAGCCGAAATCTTGTCCAATACGGTGTAAACTTTAAGTCCCTTGCAGTTAATTCTATTGTTTTAAATGCTGTTTAATGCAGAATGTTGCCTAATCCGGCCAATTTCTTTGGAACCAATGGTGTCCAGATTAGACAAGTTTTACTGTATATCCATCTAGAACTTTGTGATGAAATGTAAGAGAATGTCTGAATGTTGCAAAGTATTTACATAAGGAAATCATTTAGCCATCCTTCTAGTAGATTTTCTCAAAGCATAACCTTAAAGCCCTTGTTGGTAATACTTCAATGGTGCTTAATTTACACAACAGCAATACACTCTACTGTAAAAAAGGAATACACCACCTTAAATTCAGTCACTATACTTTTGATTAAAGACACTTTTCTAGACCGTGTTAGTTGCATTTTAAAAGCAAAATGACGAAATCCATGAATACATGCAATTTACCCATGAATGCTGTATGTAATTTCTTTAGTTTGAGGGACAAATTATATAGAAATCATTTTTTACTACCTATAGGTATTGCTTTGATTTACTTTATAAAGAAAAACCAGAATTGTTTGCGAGTCTCCTTTTAATAACTTTTAATGAAAGGAGACTTGCAAACAATATAAGAATATGAAATTAACAAATGAATACAACAAAACAACTCAAGTAAGCATGACTATTTTTTTTTTCTAACTTTATACATATAATTCACATATAAACTTCAATAAATCATGAGAAGCCATTGAGAAATCAGAGATGAAGTATATCCTCCACAGCTGTTTCCCTCCTACAAACAATAGTCATTGATTTATTTTATCTGTAATCAATGGACCGTACCAGACAACAAAGACCACATCATCCCCCAAACTCTGGGTGGAGCATCTGTATAATGTTTACAGATATATTATGTGACTAAACAATGATGCAGTTAATGGACATGATCTGTGACATTTTATTTTGCACCTTCCATTACAGTATGTCATAATTTCCAAGTACATGTGCACCACACACATTCTTTTCAAAAAATAAACATCTACGCTATCAACGAAGCTTTTTTTTATAATTATCTTGAATCTTTTAAAGATGACTCATATCTTATCCAGACATTTTACCTTCTCTGGCCAAATAAATTACATTTCAAAGTTTTATAATAATCAATTTTCAATTGTTAATTAACTACTATTTCTTAATTTTGTAAATGACCAAAATGTATGAATACAGTATTAAGTAATTTCTTTTAACAGTAGGTTTTTGTGTTTGTTATGGCCCTTATTCAAATTCATTCATGTTTGATAAGGAAAAGAGTAAAAGTTTCGCATTCACCATCAATGAGACCATTAAAAGATCTTTTACAAACAACCAGTTATCTTGTGTTTTAAGAGCTTTTTGCAGCTTGGCTACAATAGAACTATGATTGTCAAGCTATCTCTCCAGCACAATCAAAATGCCATCCCTCCTACTCAGAGAGATTTCTTTGGGATGAAAATGTTATATCTTCTAAAGGTTTGTAACTTAAGAGATAAAAAAATGAATATGACAGATGAGGAATTTGTTTAGATAATCTTCTTGTGTGTGTCTGGGGG